CAGAACAAAAACAAGAAAACAACATGAGATTTTGCTCTGTTTAGCCATTTGGTGACAAGTTAAGATATGTATATTGATGTAATGTACATTTATATACCAAAGACTGCTAAAGTTTGATTAAGTGTTTAGAATGGAAAAATGGGCAATCAAAACTTTTGATTTGAAGATTTTTGTGTTTTATGAGAATTACTTTGTGAACAAGATTTTAGATTTCCAGTTTGCATGGCGCATACTCATTCTTATTAAATACTTATGCTTTGTTTAAGGAGGTTTAATAATGTGCGGCTCTCATTCTCATGGAAGGTATCCTTTGTGACAGTTGTATATATATTATCATGTTGTAACCAATGTGATAATTATATCATCTATGTTGCATTAATCGTTAGGAGATTGAGATTTAATAGGATATTATACGGTGATAAGAAAATCTTCAAAATCATCATGCAGAGATTACGGGAGTAAAATATGAATAATGCTACGGAAACCAAATTTATACACTAAATTTGAGTCCCTAATGAGATGTCATCTATCATATCATCAATTTTTATTTTTATCTGTTAAATTACAAACAGACCACAGCATCCCTCATGGATTATTATTAGTGAGTTTGGTGCACATTCCCTTTCATATTGGGTCAAATTGGCAATTAATTCCTTGAACTGACTTTCCCACCAGAAAAAAGAAACGGACAAACCGATTTTTCCTCGCAAACAAAACCACTCTCCTAATTTCCTTTTCCCACGACACCAGAAACAGGGTTTGAGAAGGAAAAGAAAAACAACCATCTTCCAAAGAATGCAGACGCAGAAATTATCATTTGAAGAAGTAACAAAACAAACTAAAGGTTGGTTTTTGGTTGAAAATTGGTCAAGGGAAAGAAACCAACTTCATAAACTGTGTGTGTAACAGTGTAACGTTTGTTTTGCAATGACAGGCAATTCTTGAGTTGAGTCTGTCTGGGTCCAGTCCAGCAACAGACAGGACAAGACAACCTCAAACCTGGATTGCATTGGACCAAGTTGTAATGACCTATCAAGGTTGGTGCACATATGACCAAAACTAGTTCCTTCATGAGCAAGATTTACAGAAGCTGAAGGAAGAGCACCATCCAGTTAGGAGGCTATGTCCCCTTTACACCCCATACCTTTGATTTGGATGACTTTGACCCTTTCTCCTCTGATGCCTTTATTCACACGCAAGCCTTTGGATATGACTTAATCATTAATCTAAATTCAAAACGACTAATAATTGCAACGTTTAAGTTTCTAAAAAACCTGTAGAACCCTTCTGTCAAAAATCCATTTTTCATGAGACAGACATTTAAAAGGAACCAAACTCATGCTTTTGTGAGAGTTTTATTTGCATTTTTCTGGCTTCGTTTTTTCAAGCTTTATCTCTTTTTGGTTGTTCTGAGTTTGCAATCTTAGTTGGGATGTCTATGCCAGAGTTTCTTTGATCATGTGTAATCGTTAGTGGAGATGCCCCAGATTGTCTTAATTTTGATGTTAGATCGTTCCGTCATTGTAATGGCGCTTTGTGAATAGGTTGTATTGGCCATTTGTGACTAATGACTTTTTTGGCTGAATTATGAATACAATCCCATAATTTATAAAATAAAAATAAAAGGAACCAAATTCATGCTAATTATGATATAACTATGTGCTCTGAAAAATTATCTGGTAATTGATGTTAATTTCCTTTAAATATTTTCATCAACTCTCTATCAACCCTTGATTACTTCCATCAACCTCCCTTGCAATTTAACCTCCGGTCGTGCCTTAATCTCACCTCCTTTGCAACTTAATTTTCTGCCTTAATCTTATACAACAAGTATTCTTCTTCAAACCCCTAAATTTACAATTAAGCTGTCTTTATCCTTGTATTAGCTTAATCAATTCATTTGCATTCTAAATTGGGTTTCTTCAGAAAATTTCTAAAGCCCCAACTTTCTGATCAGCCCAACCCAATTAATTCACAGCTCTTTTACATTCAACTACGCTGGCCCACTATCCTAGTCTTTTTGACCAAAGTAGAAAGACACAAAATTCAGGACCAAAGACAAAGCAGAAAAGGCAAAAGGGCTCACACAGATTTTATATCTAAACAGTGAATATGACCAAAATGGACCATGTATATATACCCGAGGCGTCTTTGTTATCCGTGCTCCAAACAAAGCAAAACACATAAAAACTTGAAAATATAATCGGAAGGACCATTCCATTATGTAATTGAAGAAGCTTGCATCCCATCTTTTTATTTTGGGGTACTTTTTTATTGAGAGGGGCGATAGCATATTAAACTTATACACTACACGGATTTTAAGACTCGAACTCAGAATCTCCTAAGAATAGCATTTGTTCCAAACCACTACACTAATCGGTTATTTGCAGCCTGCCTCCATCTTCAAGCCTAGTAGGTGTTTCAAAACTCACAATGACACGAAAGTGAACTCCTCCTAGACATCCTATCCTTGTACATACATTCTACATAGTCTCAGTTAATGAATTGGGTTGATTTTGTTCTGTACAAAAGAACGGAAGATTGAAGAGGGTGCAGTTTTTATTAATGCGAAGCTACTCGAATTTGTGGGGCTACTATGTAATAGAGGTCCTATAATGATGGGGCACATAACTTTTCCAAGTAGAAGGCAAAAAAGTAGGAAAAAGTGCGTGAGTGGTCACAAGATTTAGGGCGGGCCTTTCTTTTGAAAAACACAACACAAAACCAGTAAGACGACCCACGTTCCTATTAACAGCCTAACTGCCCCTCTAGCTTCTGCTGTTGCTGCTGCTAGAATCTCACTTCACCATTCATTATCCATCTTCCTTTCAGTTCCAAGCCATTTCCTTCTCTGCAATTGCAAGCAGTCCAAAATTCTTGAACAATTCTTCTCATCCCAACACAAGGGAATTTCAGATAGTCAGTGTCATATTATGAAGTGGGGTAGCAAAAAGAAAAGGCCTCCACCTATTTTCTCTTCATCTTCTTCTTCTTCTCAGCCTTTCTTGATCTCTCATGTCTTTCCCACTTCATGGCTTTCAAAGTTCAAGCAGAAGAGGGGCAATTCAGAACCGAAACCCAGTAAAGTAAATAGAAAAGGGAAGCAGAATTCTCCATCTTTGGGTTCACCAAGGTGTGCTGCTGCTAAGGGTGGTGGAAGATTCTATGGTGTAGTTGATGATGATGATGATGCATTTTGGAGACTATCTTTTGGTGAAGATAGTGCTGAAGGGAAGAAAAACAGAGGGGTTTTGAGATCGGTTTGGTTAGATTCGGATGATGAGTTTGAAGTTCAGCCCTCCAGTTGTGGAAGCTGTCAAACAAGTGATAGAATAGTGAAGGGAAGAGATTTGTCTCAGAAGTTGAAGGGCATGCAGAAAAGTAGGACTGCTAAAGAGTGGAAATTGAGGAAGGAAAACGGAGAACTTGAGGGAAAGAAGAAGTTGTTGAAATTAGAAAGAGATGCAGATAAAGCAGAAGAGACATCAACAGAAACAGTAGAAAGTGATGAGGTGGAAATGTTAGCGGCAAGAAAATTTTGGGCAACTGAGACTGATGCAAGAAAACATCACAATGTATCTTCACTGAATTCAAGAAATTCAAGTCTAAAAACAATTCAAGAAGAAGCTTTGAACTTGGAGACTGAAGAGCCTTCTGAAGAAAAACAGACTTCAGATTGGCAAAAATTGAAAGAAAGGAAAATACAAGAGGTGAAGTCAAAGAGTGAGAAACATAGGAAATCTCTCTACATAAGCAGGGAATTACAGAGGAGAAGAACAAAACGGAGTAGCAAAGTCAGAGTTTGTTCTCCAAGAACAGCTTCAAGGGTTGAAATCTGTAAAATTAAAGCTCTTGAAAACATGACGAAAGCAAAAATGAAGATGAAAAGGGTGGCTAAGGAGGGAGCAGTGCAGCAGGTAAGAACAGGCTTGAATAGCTTTGCAGTGGTAAAGTGCTCATTTGACCCACCACAGGACTTCAGAGATTCCATGGTTGAGATGATTGTGGAGAAAAAGATAACCCAGCCAGAGGATCTGGAAGAGCTCTTAGCTTGTTATCTGACCCTGAATTCTGATGAATACCATGATCTCATTGTCAAGGTATTCCGGCAGGTATGGTTCGACTTGAATCAGGCCAGTTTCAGTACTAAATTACAGAACGAACAATGTAGCAGTGACTGATTTCTCTTTAGCTAATTATAGCCAAACTTGTAATCAAATTGTAATGTGGTAGATATAACTGTTATGTTTCTAAATGCATGAACTCTGCACTTCTAGCTTTAATCTTATCGCTTCAAATTTGTGAAGTTTAGCAACCGATGACAATGCAGGATTACAATGTGTACAAGTTGCACAAATGTGAGGAAATAGTTAAGGTGGCAAACCCAGTTTCAATCTTTGAACCCACAAAAATCCATACAGACGATCAAATCAATAGTAAAATGTCACTTGATTGAGGGGAACCTATAACCACAAGAGTTTCCAATACTTAAAACAACAATAAAAGGGGCGCAAAAAAAAAAAAAAAAAAAAAAAAAAAAAAAAAAAAAAATATATGAGTTCGGAATTAAATAATTTTCCACAAATAGTCGGGTGGACCATGGAGCCTTTGCCGAAGAGAGGACCTGGGGCAACTGGTTAACAGTATGCAAGTTCTGTAACATTCCAAATTCAAGCAAATTGTGCAAGCTGCCAGACCTTGCATTAACTCATTGCCCCAGTAAACAAAGCCCTATTGTAGTAAAGGAGCATGAGATTAAAAGGAAAAGCATGTGGGTTTTGGACCAAAAAACAAAAGGCAATGAAATGTTATTATTTGATTTTCACGATATAAGAATAGTAATCAGCATATACTAAGAAACAAGATTGAAGATAAGATGGAATCAAGGGAAAGATGAAAACAAACATAGATCTATTTATAACCAGAACAAAACATTTATGCCTAAGAGCATATAACATGTGAGCCACTGGGCATCAAAATCCCAAATAAAATAACTAGTATCACGTTTTCTCTACTGGAGTAAGATGCCCCATTTGTTCTGTAAGGTTATTTACATTCCTCATATTCCACCACAACTTGCCATGATCACCAGGTTTGCTTTCGTTCTTTCTACCATCAGAATCCCTTTTTTCCAACTGAACTTCTTGAGCTTCCACTGAACCAGGATTCTCTGTCAAGAAGTGTTCCCAGAATACGTCATTCACGCCAGTTGGCGTGGAAGCAGTGATTCCAGATGTTTGTTCTTTTGAGGATTGTTGTTTTGAGGAAGCAGGCTCAGGAGGTACAGCTGCAGCAGGCTCAGGAGCAACAACTACAGCAGGTTCAGAATTCATGTCAATTCCCGGGGATTTAGGCTGAGCGTCAACATTAAGTTGTATTGAAGATATAGCTGCACTTTCGACACAACTTGTAGACTCATCCAACTCCACGTTTGAAACAACCTGAATATGAGCCTCTCCAACATCAAAAATGGTATCTTCCCAAAATGTTAGGAATGACTCCAACTGCTCCAACTTTTCCATATCTGCATTTTCTCTAATACCAGCTTGTGAACTTGCCACCTGATTATTTCCATTGCTCGCTTCATCATAAGACCAACCGATTCTTGGCAACCTTCTCTTTCGCCCATGGATTTCCAATTGCGGAACAGGATTGGAGGCAATCCCCGGTTTCTGCAAAACCCGGGCCACGAAACTGGCCATGGTTTGCTGCTGCCTTTCCATGTGTTGCAAACGTTCCTTCAAGAACTGCATTTGCAACTCCAATCCCTGCCGCTCCTGCTCAAGCCGCTGTAACTCCACACCAAGGCGTTCTTTCTCATGTTTAAGCCTCTCGATTTCATCCTTCATACTCTGCCTTTCAGATTCGGATAAGGAAGTCCCATTCCCTTGGACTTGGAGATTCTGCAAAGAGTGACTATGAACCGGCTTTCGTCTATGGATATTCTTCATAAGGTGTGGCTGACCTCTGATAAAATCGTCATTGGCAAATTCCCATTGTTCCGGATCAATTTTTCTAAAACCCTATTGTAAGCATTTAAATCAAATTCAGGAACTAAAAAATTATAAAGATATGATAAATACCAATGTAAAAACAACTGAAGCTGAATGAAAGTAGAAATTTGATTGACTTACGTATGTATTGAGCTGCCTGATGAAGCTAGAGAAGTTGTTGTGCTTGAAGAACTTTGGCAGCAAATCTCTGGCAAACTCCGGCGGGTTCCAAACAATAAAGCTCTTATTACTGGCACTCCAAGACACAATTGAATCGGTTGAAGCATCATCCACCATATCATAGGTCTTGGAAAGGAAAGGCGGCAACGAGCTGGCGCCACCTTGAACTTCATCCATCCTAATCAATCCCCCAAAATCACCAACCCAAATCCGAAACCCAGTATTAAATCATCAACCACTTCTCAAAACTCCAAATCACAGGCAAATTAACTCCTTCAAGCTCTCCTGTATATGCAGGACCAAGAATTCAATCCAGAAACCTCAAATTTCCACTCTTTCAACCCAAAAACCGAAACTTTGCAAGGAATTAAGGGAACCCAAGATCCCGCTTGAAAACCCTTTGAATTCCCACCCGTGAAGGCCTTACCTTTCCGAGGAAATAGGGGAACCCAATTGAAAACCCATTGATTTTCCACCTGGGGTTTTGAAATTGAACCAAATTAATAAAATAAAAATAAACCAATGGAAGACTGGAAAACTGTAATTAATTAGCTGATGGCCAGAAGTCTGGGTTCAGTCAAAACCCAAAGGAAATGGAAAGCAATTGACCATAAATCCCGTCATAATTTCAACTAAGCGTGTGCCCCAAACCTACCGTAATAATCGAAGTCCTAGACACACAACAATTGGCGGTTACCGCAAATATTATACCCCCAAAAAATCACATATTTGTTTTTAGTTGGAGAAGTTGAAGAAAACAAAGTCGTATTTTTGACGAGTTGTTTGCTCGTTGCAACAGTTGCACAGACTACAATTCAGTTCCCATTTCAAAGTCAGAAATTTTGAAAACCAAAGAAGAAAAAAAGAGAGAGAGAAACAGAAAGCTTGGAGCAAAAGCAACAAGAAATTGATAAGAATAGAAAGGGACAGGAACTAGAGAAGTTGCAGAGAAGAGACGGCTGATTGGCTTCGCAAGCAAAGGTCACGAGTCGACGACCCCGAAACCCCAAAACGATTCGTTTTCGCTTCTGAATTTTCGAATATTTTGGGATCCTGGTTCTCGAAACGCGTAAAGAATTTTATTTCCCACGGAATTTTATATTATTCCATAAAGAAAAAATACAATAAAATATAAATAACTCTTTTTTTACTTTCCCTTTTTTATTATTTCTAATATTCGGATTAGGTTAGCTTTAGCCTTCAGGCTGAAATGGACTACTGGACTTGGAGACGACATTGTTTCTGTTGTCGTTAATGTCTGGGTAAGGTGCGGTGACGTGTATGCTTTGGTGGTGCTATATTCAAGGGATCTGCAACCAACTGGAGATGCGTAAGGCCGTGTTTGTTTAATCAAAAGCACCAAGGGAGGCGGATTTTTAAAGGAAAGGTAAGCATCTTGTAACGTCTACCGTACACGTGGTTTGACGATATCGCGTTACGCCACAACACGTTTTGTTGGATAAGTATGAATATGTGTGTACTTTTATTTAAATGCGACTTTAGGGTAGGTGATATTTTTGTATTTATGGGGAAAAATTGACGATGTGTCCTATAAAACATAGAGAATTTTGTGATTTCATTTTAAAGTATAGTTTGTCCCTCTCTAATCGTACGGGGATTAGTGGTCACTTTGACTTTTAGGAGTTTAAGCATACAAAAATGACGATGGCTAATCCAAAGATTTGCATAATCGAGCTACTCAATCCACCTAATTATACCTAATTTAGGAGCAATTATAGTTTAAAGCTAAGCGTGACCCTAGTTGGATACAGGTTTGACACCTCTGAGAGTTCTCTTTTGTTCTGCAGGCTCGACTTCATTGATTTGGAACCTATGGAGAGTGGTTAAAATTCTAAAAATAAAATAATGTCTATAAAATCTAACTACTTTACACAAATTTCTCAAGATTATATGATGTTTTACATTTTACTTTCATGCTAGGGATCAAATATGGCCCAGAAATGGGGTTTGACTTGGACAAATTTCCAGCCCACCTATGACTTAATGGTTAGGACTTGGGCTTAAGAACGTCCAAGAAAATTAGGCAGAGCCAATGGAACAGTAAGTAACCACCAGTTTCCCGCGTAGAATAATATCTTACACTCATTTTGAGAAGGCAATATACAAGCGAAGGGAATGATGCAAAGGAAAGAACCTCGTAAAGTTAAATGTTCTTAACCAACGAAGCTACATATTCCTTCCAATTTGTTCTTAATTACAAAATTTTGATACTTGTTTCTTTTTTCGCTAGTTATTCAGAGCACATATTAAAATGTAAGACCATGCAAAGTAAATATGGAATATGCAAATGCAAAACTCGCCTTTTCTCAATACATCAAAAAGAAATTTAGGTATATAGAGTACGTCATAAGATATAACATTTCACCTAGTTTTCTTCTTATGTTCTTCACTCAATATCCAAGTTATTTCGGATGTTTAAACAATTTATGCTTCATAATTTGAACGTGTTTAATTCTAGATTTGATAGTCATATTAATAAGATAATAAAATAACAATCGAAAAAAATCAATTTTTATAATTTTTTTTAATGTACTTAAAACTTCTATCTCATTAACGATCAGAAATCACTCACAATTTTGTAACTTTCAACGTAGTAAAATCCAAGATAGAATACATAGCATAAAGCAAAAGAGTGAGTAATAATAAAGAGGATTATGGAGAGCTGAAATTGAAGAAATGAAACAGTGTCTCCGGTGCCTCGTGGGTGGCGAGCATATCGGGCATCACCTGGGCCCACCAATGGGACGGACATGATTAACGTTATATATAGGACGGTGGTCCCCACCACCACCACCACCACTATACCATACCATATCATATCCCACAAATCCACAATCGGTGCCACGCACCGTGGGGCAGCAGTAGCATTCTCTCTCCTCCTCTTGTACACTTGTCAATTTTAAAAAAAGAAACGAAAAAAAAAATCCAAATAATCAAATTCAAATCAGTGGCGGACCCAATGCCACGCCCTCCAATCGGGTTTGATACGCTGGTTGAGTTCGAGGCGCACGTGTAGTTGGTTGAATTTTGGGGCGATGGACGACCCGTCGTGTTATTAAATATATGGGGGGCTCACTGCTCACAATCTTTCATTAATAATATCTTATCTTATGCGATATTGTAATTTGTAACCAAGAGCAAGCTACCAAAACATTGCAGCTTGCTTGTCTCACCTTACAATTTATTAATTGCAACATACAAATCACATCAAATCCTAATATCCTAAATTTGGTTATTTCACTGAAACATGGTGCCCTTCAAGTAAGGGATGATAATTTTGTCCGTGGATAAGAGTCTTCGTAAAATTTTGATCATAATGGGTTGGGTATGAAAGATTTAAAAAATGGGTATGGGGACGGGTATAAATAATTTTTTGAGTATGATGTTCGGGGAGGAAAGGGGATGGTATTTTAATCCCCAACCTGAACCCTCCCCGTTTAGAATATATATATATCGTAGTATATATAATTTATACGAATCTTAAGCCACACTACTTATATATTTAGTTAACTTCCAGTTACTATGTAAACATTCTTATATTGTCTTGTATGTATATATATTATATATACTCATTATCTTGGCTTGGTTCAAATTTTTATTTCTTTCAACAAAGTAGTTTTATATTGATTTTTTCTTCCATAATGGGGCGGGTCGGGGAACCCATAACAAAGGTGGAGATGGAGAATCCCCGATATGAATATTGCAGGTATATGAAGGCAGAGATAGGGGAAAAAAGCTTAACGATGATGGGAATGAGAATGACATACCCACCCCCAACTCGATTCATTGTCATCCTTACTTCAAGCTCAATAAAATAAAGAGTAATGCTATAAGTTCCAATAATACACAAATCTATAAACAGCATAAGACACTAAATTGTGAAGTCCTGCAAAGTCTTCCTCACTATTTAATATGCACAACTACAACGGGGTTCAAGCTTAATAATTAAGAACTCACTATATAATAATAAATATAGAGTCTACATATTATGAAGTTACGAACCCAATATATTATTTTTCTCGTTAACAATATATCATCTATAAGTAGCACACAACAAGCCATATGCTAATGATCGAGCATGAAAGCTCTACGAATGCTACTGATTAATTGAGACTAAACTCATCTTTTGTAAGTTTTGTTATGAAGTGAGGAATGCGTTGATATGTTATAATGTTAAATTGCATATAATATTAGCAATCAAACCATTATGACTCACAATATGAGGAATGTGTGATAAGACTTGTAAGATTGTGAATGCAAGCATTTATATATATATATATATATATATGTGATAAGGTAAGGACTTAATGTAACAATAAAGTATTGAATATCTATGAGTTTATGAAGCGCACCTGAGTTACAAAGTGGACAGAAACCACCTGGGGTCCACACCGAAGAAACAGGAAATGAACCATTGTATAAAAAAGGGAGCACAGGGCAAAAAGACAGAGATGGTGAGCAGGAGGGGGGTACGTTGCCAATTCCATCAATGAGAAGCTAATTTGGAAGGTGGCGCATAGCAGGAGATACATATTGGCCCCACCTCAAAAGCCCACCCTTCTCTGCGAGCAAAAAGCCTTCACCATCTGGATGTCAATGATGTCAGTCTCTTATTATCAGTAGTTATATTGGATCCATCAGTCCACTCACGCTAAAAATAGATAACCACCGCCAGCATTAGTCACGTGATCTCAAACCAACAAGAAAATACTCAGTCAGTCTACAGTATATTAGAACAACACATTTCTGGGAAACAGAAATAACACTGTTTTATTATTTACGGTCAGTTATAATATGCCACGCGTGATAATCTCTCTACTTAACATATTATAATTAATTAAAAATAACAAAATAGTAATATCTCGTTTCACACGACAAAATGAGAAGAAGAGGAGGAAGAGAGAGAGAGAGAGGCAAAGGCCAAGTACCAACCAACACACAGAAACAAACTCACACTCACGCATCACACGCATCACACACACTGACAAAAGACAAAAGTGGCAGCAGTAGCAACAGCTACCTGAGACAACCCCACGCTGTGTTGTGGCCACCGCAACCGCACGCCGGCATGCAACCAGGCCCCGCCGCTCCTTTACCTGGCCCCCACCTCCCCCCTTACCCCTAAACCAGCAATCACAACTCTGGGTCCCATAGTCCACTCCCTCCTCCAATCCAATCCAATCCTTCTCATGTTTGACTTTTTCATTAGACCTACACCTCTCACCTAGCTTATAGTAATACAATTAGCCACGCTACTCCACTTAGTACGAGCCTAATTAAAGCATATAACCAATTTCATTAATTTGGTGTATTGTTGTGTAAATACATAGTAGGCAAGGCAATCATGAGTGAATCAATAGTTAGATATCGTTAACGAGGAACCAGACAAATTTCATTAATAAGATTAATAAGAAAAAGAGAAATACCGTTAAATTAATAGCTTTAGTCGGTGCGTGCATACAAATATTTTATTCATTAAAATTAATGAGAAAAGGAGAAGTTAAATTTGGATATTTTCAAACATTAGACAATTGCACGTAGCACAACTAAACTATGCTTAAACCCTTGCACCACTCGTAGTTTAATCTCCAATGTGTTGGTATTAGTTGAATTAGAAACCTAGTCCAACACTCCAATTAGCGTGACCCAAAAAAGATTAAGGTCAAGGTGGATTTGTCAAAATTAGGCAACCTGGTCAAGTGAATGCGACCGTTTGAAAAAAAAATATATGATGGTCCACAGATACCATTATCATGACAAGCCTAATCATAACCTTATCCCCCCTTCCCTTTGCATACGCAATTTCCCATTTTACCCACCATTCTCCTTAACCCATAATCACTTGTGCTGGTTGGCTGGCAGAGGGAAAATACATGGATCTAGAAGCAATTATTATCAAGTCCTATAAAAAAAAATATTCAAAACGACACCGTTTTATCGTAGTGTTGTAGATTACCTGGTCGCAAGTAGCGGCCGCGAAGGACCACCCCGCCCTTTTTAAAAAGCCTAAACACGTGTTAAGGCCCGTGATTCCGGAGTCAGAGCCAACAAAAACAAATAAAAAGAAGAGACTGCCACTCTCGTAATTTACCAAATCAACAATGGCAATTACATTCTCCCCTTGTATTTAGCTCTCACCCTTCCCCCAAAACCCCCCTATCTCTCTCCCCTCTCTCCCTCTCTCGCTCTTTATTATTAAAAACCATTCTCCAAACAGAAACCGCCAATTCCCGGTTTGCCGGCCGGTTCGCGCCACCGGTCGTCACACTCCGTTCGGGTTAGTCCGTTTGGCTCCCGAGAAAACCAGAATCGCCACCGAATGATGACGTCGGGAACGAGAATGCCGACGTGGAAGGAGAGAGAGAACAACAAGAAGAGAGAGAGGAGGCGCAGAGCCATCGCCGCGAAGATCTACTCGGGCCTGAGGATGTACGGAAACTACAAGCTACCGAAGCACTGCGACAACAACGAAGTCCTCAAAGCTCTCTGCAACGAAGCTGGGTGGACCGTCGAAGAAGACGGCACCACTTACCGAAAGGTATATATAGTTCCTTCATCCTTGCTCTCTCTCTCTCTCTCTCAAATTCTCAAAGCCATTTTTGCTCAATTCGCTTGCGGTAATGTTAAAATGCGCCGTGGCGTTTGAAAACACCGCTTCCGATCCGATTTTTCTTTTATGCTTTTTGAAACTCTTGCTTAAGGTAGCTTAATTAAGCAGCGGATTTTGTAATCAGTCTGGCGCCGATCGGTGTGATCGATGGTTCAGATTGAATCTGGTGATTGTTTTACTTGCTTAATTTCTGAGTTTAATTATCTCAGCTAACGGCGTACGTTAGATCGTTAATGTCGAGCGGGTCGCACGAAGCACGAGGCTCTTAGAGATTCGTTCGATTCTTTTGTATGAAAACGATGAACGCAATACTCAGAGACCTGCAAGCCTTTCTCGTGTGACCAAAATACCCCCGCTAGATTGGCGAAATGAGCCTCTCAACAGCGGGCATTCGGGTCTTTGTTGAGGGTATTTTCGTCATTTGGGATTCTCCCCACCTCCAACTTTCACTTGGCTTTAATACGACCGAATGTTCTCTCTCTCTTTTATCAGTCTGTTGACTGTTTTTGCTATCTGGTTCCGATTTCTGAGCTCGTGGCTAAATTTGCGTGAAAGTGAAAACCTTTTCTTTATCTCTCTGCTTTCTTTTTCTTCTTTTTACTGCTCAAAGGCTTACTGTGTCTGTGTTTCGTCATTCCCAAAACTGCCACTTCACCCGCCTTAACCCGTTGGGAGACAACGAGGGCAATTTGGTCTTTCGACACTCAATGGGTACAACGACCAAGGACTTTTATTTATTTGTTTTTTTCTTTTCTGGAATTCTATGGCCTGTTTCCGAGATTTGCGGGGCAATCGCAGTACTTTCCCGTTAGATTGAGAACATGGCATATGATGGTTTGTGGGCCGGTGTTTTACTCTTTTTTTAATTTTGGGTTTTATTATAATTAATAATAATTAGGCTTTCTAATTTATAATTAATTTTTATTTGAAAAGTGCAAATTTTGCTTGGTGATTAAAATAGGGGGCAACCCAACCAAAAGAGGTTTATGAGAGGAAAGGATGATTTCTTGTTGGAAATCCTTGGATTCCTTTTTTTGGTTAAAATTGTAATTGCAATCTTTAAGGCGGTAAAGCGTGTGTGGCTTTAGATTGTGATGGAGGGAACATGTTGGGCGATGGCGTGTCGTGGAGGGGCCGCGTAACAACTAATATGCAGCCGCTGTTTGACATTATTGTCTCTCTTAATTCAGTCTTCATCCGAATCTGAGTGCAATTAGTCAATTACATTTTTGCCACCATTCCCCTATTAAGGGTGACCTAATTTTATGTAGGCAGGTTGAGTTTTGGGAGAAATAATTCTTTTAGTTAATGAGGCTCCTTTTTTATATAAAAAATAGAAGCCTGTGTTTTCTTCTTTTGGTAGAGAAAAGAAAACATAGCAGTAAAGCCGAATCAATCAAGGACAAATTTTCAGCTTTAATCAACTAAGGTCTTAGGAAAACAAGGAACTTACTCTGGCTTGCTTCCTTCTATTAGCGATGAAATAGAGTAACAATTCTCAGTCTACTAGGAAATTGCGTGTTTAGGCATTTGTTGCACTTTTAAGTACTTAGGATCTTTGCAACACTATTTTTCATGTGGTTAGGCTTTAAGATTTTCCTCCAGTGAAGTGAAAACAAATTCAGAATCTCAGACTTTTGATGATATTTGTATAATTTTGTCTCACAATAGGTTATATGTTCATTGTTGCAGGGATGCAAACCTGTGGATCGCATGGACATAATGGGAGGATCTACATCAGCAAGTCCATGTTCTTCATACCAGCCAAGTCCATGTCAATCCTACAATCCAAGTCCTGCCTCTTCTTCATTTCCAAGTCCAGCTCGCTACCCTGCAAATGCAAACGGCAATGCTGATGCCAATTCTCTCATCCCATGGCTTAAAACCCTCTCATCAGGTTCATCATCTGCTACATCCAAGCTTCCCCAACTCTTCATTCAAGGGGGTTCCATAAGTGCTCCAGTCACTCCACCACTGAGCTCCCCAACTTCCCGAACTCCTCGAACCAAAAGTGACTGGGATGAAGCAGTGGCTGGGTCAAACTGGGCAGGGCAGAATTATCCTTTCCTGCCTTCATCCACCCCACCAAGCCCCGGTCGCCAGGTTCTGCCTGATTCAGGATGGCTTGCTGGACTGCAAATTCCCCAGAGTGGCCCATCATCCCCCACATTCAGCCTTGTCTCGAGAAACCCTTTCAACTTGAAGGAGGCTTTGTCGGGTGGAGGGTCTCGGATGTGGACTCCGGGGCAAAGTGGAACATGTTCGCCAGTAGTTGCTGCAAGTGTTGATCACAGTGGAGATGTTCCAATGTCAGATGGAATGGCAGCTGAGTTTGCATTTGGCAGTAACACATCAGGATTAGTGAAACCATGGGAAGGTGAAAGGATTGAGGAATGTGTATCAGATGATCTCGAACTAACTCTTGGAAGTGCTAGAACCAGGTAAGTTGGAATCGAATTCGTGGGCGAATGGATCCAACTGTTTCGAGAGTTCCTCAACTTTACTGGTTTTGTTTGTTAAGGACTTTGTGTTGGTGCTGCAGATGAGAGAATGAAATGGGAGAGAACTGTTTATGGGTCTCTTGATGCAGGTTCTTCCTTCTCTTCATGTCAAGTTCCACTTCATGTCCCAGGGTGTTTTAGTGGGTCAGTTAGAAGTACAGTGAGTAGGAGCAGCTGTTTTCTTTTTCTTTTTTCTACTTTTATTTTTTCCTTAACAAAAGAGCACTAAAAATTAAATTATAAATAGTTCATGGTGGTGTTTTGCCCCTTCTGTTAAATTCATTCTTCCATTTTATTCTTCTTTGTCATTTTTTTTTATCTCCACATAACATTGGAAGGATTCATATATGATCTTGGTTTGTTTGTTTGTTTGTTTGGGATTTGTGATTGAGTCGGATTTTGGAAGTGTAGACTAACTCATTGCCTACAAGTTCTGACCTCTTCAGCTCAATAGCATGTTTGGTTAACATGCCTGCCATTTTATTACTAAAATTTGCATTTTATATAAGTATGAATTGTAAGAAGACAAGCCTTTTATTAGATTGAGATGTACTCCTAATATATAACGCAATATGCATTATCTGTCATTATCATCCTGTTTCTGCTCTCTATAAGCTTCAACTCCTCCATCATTCTGTCATCCACAAAACAAAACAGTGTGCTATCCAATTTTGAAAAGATTCAAACGCGCAATTTTATAAGTTGCAAGCCACAAACAAGCGCAAAGCAATACTCACATGATCACATCCAGTTAAACATGCACACAAACACATAACATCGAGAAAACCCAATTCAGAAAAGAAAAGAAAAGAAAAATCGAGGGAGAATAAATACCGGCGGAGAATGGAAGTTCGAGTGGAGGGACGAGAAATCCGAAACTCCGGAAGCCAAAGCCTCGGGCTCAACCTTAGAATTGAGCTTTTGGGGACCCTCCATTAGCTTAATCAAATCAAACTTCGTTTTTTATGTTCTTGTTCTGCATGTACTATCCATGAAGGCGGTGGCTTCATGAACAATATTAGGGAGGATTTTTCCAAGGGACTGAGACTGAGGGAGGCCAACAGAAACCAATTTATCTGCAACGTTTTTATAAGAGAACTAATAAACATTGGAAATGCAGAAGCGTTTTGAGTTTCCATAATTACATTTCTCTCTCTTTCCTTTGAATTCTGCTCCATTTTAGCATCAGGTCAAATAAAGTCCTGTCTTCTTCGTCGCTCGCCAAGGTCATCATCTAGATTTCACCCACACACGCACTTCTGTCTTCTTCTCTTATTACGCCTAGTTTCAAAAGATGGAAGAGTGAGGAGTCCACTCTTTTGGCTAGAAAAATGGAGACATGCAAATTACAAATTTCAACCTTTAAAATCTGACAAGTTTTTCATTAGATTGAGATGTGCTCATAATATAAGGTAATTAATTTCCACCTGTTCTATGCGTTATTTGTCTTTGGGAGGGGAACAAAAGCCCACTGCCATGATCGTATTATGGTCCGGAACAAAACCAGAAGTTCCACTCACAAAACAAGTCTTCTAACAAAGTACTGTATTTACTTTTCTGATTTCCTTTGTTAATAAATACTTTTCAATGAGTTTTGGCTTTTGTCCAGAACAAATGTGTCATTTACAAATAGAAATCGAGACGGCATGAGTATATATACACTGCGGTGGTCTCCATGTACATGCTATGTCCCAGGAAGTGTTTCATGGGCAAAGAATGGCAGCAACTGAAAGCTTCAAAGCATATGCACAGAACATACAATCTTCAAAGATTCATTTCCCCCTGATCATAGGTAACTTCTACCAAGTAATCCAGGGATGTGCTCAACTTTGTCACCCCTCAATCTTCTGATATAGATCTGAGAGGGCACGATAGAGGGTAGCAGCGGCAGGTGGTCTGGGCAACGAGCCAAGAAGTACATCCGATGCAGTTATTGACTGGCTGCCATAAAATCGAGAATTCACCTTTGTGCGGGTGGTTACAATACTACCTTCAAGTGAACATCCAACAAATGCACCTGCAATTGCAATAATTGATGATGTAATGTGGTATTATTTATAAGGAAACTACTCAAAATGAAAATATAAAGAAAAATGAAAGTATAACATCAGAAATGCATATTAAGTTGGGAAAAATAGGACACCTTTACTACAGCTGTATGTATAACAAGCAGCGTAACCACCATCACCGGCTCGAACATCAGCTTCAACTGCCCTTCCAACAACGCCAACTGCAGCACTCAAGCCAGCTCCTACAGATAGATGCACATTACCACTGAATGTTTTTACAGCCTCAGTTGTTCTCAAAAGAATGATAAAGTCCGTCAACTCCCCTCCAGCCTGCAACAAAAAAGAGGGCATGGGATTTTAAATCTTCAGATATATACAAAACACATACTGAGACTGGGAAGGTTGTGCTATGCTGACTTAATAATATCACATTTCAAACATCTTAAACTTGCATCAAATAGGAAACTTTGAACAAGGATTCAAATTAAAATTGATATAGACAGCAAAACTTTATAGATTTGGTACAATCAATATTTTTCTAAAAACTATTTAAATCTTATTGTTGTTCCTCCATTTGACTAAACATGAATAAACATTTGCAATGGTTATTTCTGTCAGAGTAGTTGTAAATTGTCAAACTGGAGAATAAATGTCAAAGTTGTTATAAATAAAATATTGCACCTGTGCTCCCCAACCTATACCAAATGTAGAAACAGCAGATGGTGGAGACCAAGAGCCATCTTCTCTACGAGCAATCACGACTCCAGTACCTATATTGTAGGTAACCATAACTCCAACTTTCACAGCAGTGATTATTGCAAGGCCTTTTGCTTGTCTTAGAATGGCATCCGGAATTGACTTCTCAGGTTTTAGGGAGCATACCTGAACAATTAATTCCATGAGTAGCGTTTATAGAATAATTCATGCCAGTTCATTTTCATTAAGAACTTAAGAGTACATGTTAATATCATAGAGACTGATTTTATTCTTTAAATAACCAAATTCATGAATTCTTCTCCCACTATAATTTATGATCCATACAGGGGCTAATTTTTGCGCACATTTATTTCAGTCATAAGTTCTCAAGCCAAAGCAACGCAGTCACTAAGATATTGCGCCTTCTCGATGTAATTCAAACTTAAGGCAAATACGTTCTTAAGGTAAAACTGTAGCTCACTGGCTATCAAAGCAGTAGAGGCATCGACAATACATGTTCAACGGTTTTGACACTTCAGAGTCTTACCTTCTTATAAACACGAATTGCATTTGCCGCCTTATATATCTCATACTCCATGGATTGTCCCCAAGGAATATTAACCCATGACCGCAAAGTACTAAGGTCTGTAAGATCTTGGGTTGGCATCTGGGCTGCATGGCTTACTTGGTCCATTAAGTACGGCTGGACCGAATCAAGTCGTACACAGCATACATCACAGACTCGTTGGGGATCCGCAACACGGAACTTTGCCGGCATCAAACTCCTTCCCTTAGAGCAGTCACCACAAAATATTCCTCCACAAAACCGACAATGATGCCTAGAACACATGATGGGATGAAAATGCACGCCACAGAGCATACAAGCAGATGCAGAACTGTCAGCCAACCATTTCGGTGGCTCTGCTTCGATAAGTTCTCTTACATTAGCAAAGTTTGCATCTGTGAGTGTTTGGGCCATTTCTTTCCAAGCCTGGTCAAGGAGATTATCCGATATCCATGAAAGTTTGCATCCATACATATCAGCTGAAGCAATTGAACTTACTTTCCCACGGGCTGCAAGCAGCATTTCTACCATTACATCCCACATAGTCAGCTCCTTCTCTTCCCCAATATACTGGCCCCAACCCATGTCACCGTCAGGAAAGTATCCCCCATTTGAGTATAAACCTTTGGCCCACTCTTCATGCTCAGTTTCCCACATAGGCGGAACGGAAACAGGTATCCAAACCCCAGTTTCTTCAGAAAGTGGGGCATCATAATAAAAGTACTTTCTTTGCTCCCCATTTTCCTTCTCATGTAACTCAGAGTCACATTCTGTAGATTCTGTCATTATTTGGTCATCATTATGCTTCTGCTCTCTATGATTTTCAACTCCTCCATCATTCTGTCCATAACAAAAACGGTAGGTAGCAATTAAAATTTTGCCAAGCCGCAAGCACAAAGCAATACTTACAGGCCGCAGACACAAAAACTAAACTAAAACAGAAAGACCTTTTTTTTTCTTTTTAATTTTTGGAGAAAGCCCTAAAATTGAAACCAAGCCACCGAAGGACTGTACTTTCCCATTTCCCCGGATTGAATTTTACTTCTGAATCGCAAAGAAACCCTAATTGTTCTCATAGGTGAGGCAACACCAGCTCAATTTTGGGACTTTAACAAAATGATAATCGAATACGTCAAGATATGCACATATAGAGTATGATCAAATCCCAAAACTTATTCTTCGCCCACAAAAGAATTCAAAACTTAAACACTCACATAAATGAAATCAAGAGAAGCAGAGAGAGGATGAATATTACCGGCGGAGATTGGAAATTGGGGTGGAGGGTGTCTTCCTGAAGCGATAAATCCGAAACCCTAGAAGCCAAAGCCTCGGCCTCAACCTCAGAATCGAGTTTATGGGGCCCCTCCATTAGTTTAACCAAATCAAAGCTTCGATCTTTATGTTCTTCTTCGGCGTATACTAATCATTCAGGAATAATCGCAACTAATTCCGTGAGGACGAAGAGGGATTGTGACGAAAACAAATTGCAAAACACAACTATTATTTTGCATAGAATAGAAAATAGGATTGGCGAAAAAACATGAATTGCTTATAGTAGAGGATGAAGCTGTAATGTCGTGTCGGCCAGTCTTCGTCTCTAAAACGTTTCCTTCGTCTATTTATTGTTGGAGCCCAGTTTTATTTCTAATTACTTCATTTGCTAGAGTTTTATTCAGTTAATCATTATTCATTTTTCATCAAATAAGTTTTGTCTTTTTCTTTTTCCAAAAGAAAACTCAATAAGCATGTGTTACGGTGTCATCTTACAATTTTAGCTAAGTTAATAAAAAAAAATTTGTTGAAAGCAAAGCTTAATTTTGGAAAATATGTTGGTAACATAGTTGCTAAACTATTATTCTTTGAAAGTTAAGTTATATCTAGTTGCCAACGAGGTCTAGTAGAAACTATTATTATTTGAAAGTTAAGTTATAACTAATTGCCAACGAGATCTAGTCCGGTGAAACAATATTATATTTACAATCCTAAAAATTTGTCAAAAAGCAACATAAAACAAAGAAAATGGAAAATTTTCCTATTATATTTATGAACATAATCTAAACAAGCAAAAACAATTTCTTTCATCATCGAGAATTGTTTACAACATTAGTGATTTGCAAGATAATGGACTACTTATATCTTGCTCCAAACTACTACAAGCACATGGTAAGGGAGGAGATTTATCACACAATCAAGATGTCATAGAGATTGAAACTTGAGACTTTGCAAGTCAATGCTATTTTGTACTGGACTAGTCCTGTTGGCATCTTCTTTAATTATTATTTTAAGTATTATCTTACCTACCAATTCTTAATAATTAACAAATACATTTTTCAACATAAATTTTAAAATATATTTGAGCATGAAATTAACAAGAAATTATGACTTTGAAATTGAAAATAATAATGATATATGTGAAATTTACCTCATTATTCTAACATCGCAGCGAGCGAACCGGCAGAGACGAACGGTGTTGTCTTAGAAGCCACTAGCAGAGTCTGAGCGGGTCACCAATGGCAACCTGGTTCCGGAGTCCGACTCCAAGTCATAAAGTGGCGAGGTTGGTCCTGGTCCTGGTCCTATTAGCTAGCCTATACGGCTCCTGCCGTGGATCTGAGTCTCGGATCCATCCGGGTCGCGACCTGTTGGCCACTCAAAGGAGGAATAACGGCAGTCAGAACCAGATCCCGAGCTGCAACGACATGTCGTCGGAGTCACAGTGCTCCCGGAACCCAAAGTGCCGGTGGTGCCGCAGCGACGTCCTCAACGACATGTGCTTCCCAAAGCTCGAGGCTTTGCGCTTACCCCCACAGGTCTTCTCTTGCAAAATTGACTACAGTCGTCTCAACAGAAATCATGAGAAAGCTTAGCTTGAGTAGATTTTAATTTAAAGTCAGCTGCTTTTAAATAATTTTCCACTTTTAATCACAAATCAATTCTTGTGTGTTGTTGTTTGTTGAGTAGGGAATTGTGCATCTTGTGATCTGTAAATGATGTGTTGTGAATTGAAATTGATCTGTTCTTCAATTGAAGATCTGAATCTTTTGATAGACTGTAGTTGAAGTTGTGATTGTTGAAGGTTAGATTGTGTTTTTCCCGGCTACGGATTAGGATTTAATAGAATGGGATGTTGAAGTATCAGAGGAAGTGGATTAAGCTTGAGCAGCTTTAGATTAAGCTTAATACATGTGCCTCAAAAGTAGTTTAAGTAGCTTAAGATCATCATATCCATGCCTTAGGAATTGAGGCACATTTTGCAAAATTGTGTGTGTTTCATTTTCATATAGAGGATTTGTACATTTATAAATTAGAGGAAGAAATATAGCTGCCTGCTTGTAAGTTGTGCTTGTACAATGTGAAAGTAAATCAACTTAGTACATTTTGCTTGTAAGTTTTGTGAGTAATCCATGGAAACCTAGAAGAAAGCATGAAGCCTAGCATGCAAGGTAATGGGACAACTGGACAAGGGTTAGCAACAAGATAATATGTAAGGGTCACTTTGTTGTGCAAAAAACCCTCAGGTTCAGGTGTAGAGCAATTAGGTTTTTGAATCGTTTCTTTGGGTTTCGCAGCTCGGCCTGAAGAAGATGATGGGGGTCTTTTATTGTTCTTTTCATTGATAAAATTTGTATGTAACTTGCAACCACAGCCTCCCAGCATATAGCACCGCTGGTTATATCCTATAAGTCACGTGGTGTGGGTGATACTATACAACTCCTCATGTAATCTCTTGCACTCCAAAAATAAATGTATTACAATTCCTAAACCCTACACAGTGCGGATAGAGCTGGGGGTTGTGTATTTGTATTTTAGGGTGTAAGTATATGAACAGTAGCGGACAGCACCGTTGTATTTGCTGGATCTATATCTTGTTATTGGTTTTTTATACCATGTCTAGGAACTTTCCACTTGCGAACAGTCAAGTATGGAGAAAATATAAGGTTGCTGCTCTCAGATGCAACTCAGATACGGGTGGCTTTAGTTTAGTTTGTATAGCTGGATGTTGGGGAAGAAGGGAAAACCAAAATGATGAGTACAGATCCGGTTGCTCGAATGGAGTAGTGATCCTGTTCTTTTGCCCTTGCTCTCAGGAGTCAGGACCTTCTAGAAATATATTATGTCTGGGATTTCAGCTAGTGGCATTAGTGATAGAGCTAAATAACAGCACAAAAATGTGGGGTTAGCAATAAAACCCGGGATCTAAGAGCTAAATTGCTGGAGAAGAACGTGGGGGTTTTCAACAAAGTAATCTCTTCCTACATATAGATAGAAGAAACCAATGCAGTCCCACATAGTACTTAGTATCAAGAATTGTTTCAAGCATGGAAGAGAAAAAACAAGCAATAAACGGTGTTTTAAACCAAAACACTGCAGCAATAAACTGCGCATCAAGATTTCCTCTTTAAGATTGTTCTGATAAGTTAATGAAAAGAAACAAATGAACGCACAATCGTCAAACAATTTCAACTACGAACATATTATTTGAGCAACTGAACTGAGTTTAGAAATCAAATCAAATCGTGGTGAACAAGGAGAGCCTCTTTTTCCACCTTTAAAATTAACAAACAAATTGAACATATTTGTTCAACTTTACAACAAAACAGAGACAGACACCAAATCAATTCACACTGCTTCATCATCTTTGGCTCCGCCGCCGATGCCGCCAGCAGCCGCAACAAACTGCTTCACAGCATCCCTCATATCATCACATTTCAACCCATCAAAGAACTCCATCAACTTCCCCAGCTCCCGGTCTGCCATGTCATCCACAAACGGTCGGACTGGAACGGCGTTCTCCGGTTGTAAAGAATATGAATTTGGATTATCATCCACAATCACCGCCCGGCTCAAGTCCCTCCCTAACCCGGACAAGTCCTTCACCAACTTCCCATCCACTTCTTTACACGCGTCCCTGTAGAGCCGGTGCGAAATGACCCGGTTACGGTCCAACCGGTCCAGCACCAGCGACGCGTACTCTCTCAACCCGGCCGTGAACACTACCAACTCGTACTTCTCTGCAAGATTCACCAACAACTCGTCCACACCAGGCCGCTTCAGCACGTAGAAATTCATGGCTACGCCGTCGATATTCGGCCGTATGACGAAATCGTACTTCTCCGGCGGCGGCTCGGCCTGAGAGTGAACCAGCGTCTCGTCGAGATCAAGAAACACGGTCGGCTTCTCCTCAGAGACCAGCGGTGGGAGCGGGGTGTCGAAGAAAAGATTGCGTCGGATCGGGTCTTCTGATCCGGGTTCGGGCTCGTGGATTTGGGATTTCTTGAGGATCTTGAATCCTTTGTGGCGGTTGGGGGTCCCTATTCGCGCTAGCTTGGTGAAGAGCTTGATGAGGCGGCGCTGGCAAGTGAAGATCGAGGAGAGCACAGCGGAGGAGGCCGCGGCTGCAGCCTTTTTCGCTGAGGACTTGCCGCGGGTGCGCCGCCTGTTGGCGCTCTTCTTCACAATCTTGGACACCATTTCTTCAAATTCTCGCTTGCCAATTTGTCTTCTTCAAAATCTTGATCAGAAATCGAGAGAGAGAGAGAGAGAGAGAGAGAGGTGTGGAGTTTGAAATGGTGGAATTTGAGGAAAGGGGGAGTTTTTAAACCTTAGGTTCGGTGTAACGGTCGTCAGTGTAGGTTCGGAACCGAAGCTGAGGCGAAGTGGTTATTGGTTTAGGTTCGGATACGTGTGAAAATTGAAGGATGATTAGGATTGGAGCTTGGCTGGATGGCAGGTTTTAGATTGAAGTGAACGCGTCACTGTCAGTAAAAATTACAGCTTTTGCCAACTCCCCTAAATTCGCCTTCCTATTTGTTATTTCTGAGAACCTTCCACATTTGTTTTTCTTCTCTAAAAGAAGGTTCTATATTTTTGTTATGTTTCAATGCTTTATATTTTGACTGCCTTTATTATTTTTCATTAAAATAAACGAGAACAAGAAATGTAAAATAATTTCCAATTGGAAACGAATATCATTTCTTTCGTGTTTATTTGACAGAGAGAATGAGTTTCGAAATATTTTTAAGATCTTAACTGCAAATTTGGGATTTTTATTTATTTCTTGTTTGAAAGTCAAATTCAAGGCTATAGACATGCATGCTTTTCAAAAACTCTTGAGTACCGTACCTTCATTTCGACATCTCATCATTTAACGAATTTTAAGAATGGCCGATCTAATGGCAAGACCAAACTCAACAGTTTTGAAAAGTTGCACTGAGTGAAAGTTGATTGTCGTTGTTAATTACCTGAATGCAATAGAAGATTATCATCATGTTGGATCATAGAAGATCGACAGGATGATAATCTTCCAACTCCAACACAAGTTTAGACATTTTACTTCGGTTTCATTCGAAGGCTTCTTAGATTGTCCAGGTTCTTGATGTTCTATCAGTTTACAAGTATCAATTGTCGAAGAGACCGACCGATGACACCTTTTACGTAAGACTTGCCGTTTTCATGCAACATGTTATAAAGAAACAAAAAAAAAAAGGTTGATCATCATCAAGGCTTACAAAAACTGTTTCATTTCATAACAAAATATATATATACCTTCTTTAATTTCTCAATGTTAAAAAAAGGGGATGAAATCCTGTGCGAAAGCACACGATTATATTAATAATTAGCAGAAACAAACTGCACACGATCACCATCTTTGTCCCCCACTCCAAAACTGGCGGCCCAAATGGGCGAACTCTATGGACACTGATGATAGAGAACGGCGTCGAAACGGTAGGTTTAGACTTAGCATCACTCATCTCCTGCAACTCATCGTCGTCGTCGTCGTCATCAGACGACATCAATCCATCGTCACCAACAAACTTCTTCACGGCAACCCTAATGTCCTCACAACAACGTAACTCTTCGTCCTCAAAGAACTCGAGCAACCTTGTGAGCTCCCGGTCCGCTGGGTCGTCATAAAACCGGACGACGGGGATCGCGTTCTCTGGCTGGAGGAAATAAGCATTGGGATTGTCGTCCACAATCACCACCCGCCTCAAGTCCCGCCCCAACCCGGACAAGTCCTTCACGAACTTCCCACTCATCTCCTTACACGAGTCCCTGTAGAGCCGGTGCGACACCAGGCGCTTCCGGTCCAGCCGGTCCAGTATCAGCGTCGCGTAGTCTCTCATCCCCGCCGTGAACACCACCACCTCGTACTGTGCCGCCAGCCTCTCCAAAAAAGCGTCCACGCCGGGTCGTTTCACCACGTAGAAAGTCATCACCTTGCCGCGGATCTTCGGCCGGACAACGAAGTCGAAGTTCTTGGGCGGCGGACCAGTCACGGAGTGGACCAAGGTCTCGTCGAGGTCCAGACACACTGTCCGTTTCTCCGGCGAGGCTAGAGGCGGGAGTGGGAGGCGGGCCTGGGGTTCGGTCCGGGTCTCCGGGGACTGGGGTTTGTGGAGGACCTTGAATGCTTTGTTGGTGCCGACGCGGGTCAGCAAGACGGTGGATGGGGCAATCGCCGACTTTTTCAAGGAGCAGTTGCGGCGGTGGCGCCTCCGTATGCCGCGGCAGCGCTTGATGGGCATGTGCTTGTTGGTGCTGGGGGTTTTCTTGAGAATCCTGGACACCATATTTCTTTGGTTGGTTGTTGCTTCAATGTCGAAATTGAAAATGGTGGAGAAGTTGAATTGAATTGTTGAGAATTGTTGGGGGGGAGTTTTAAATTTCTGGCGGGTGCAACGGAAGGTTGGAACAAAAGGAGAGATGGTTGGGATGATTTAAGGGTGAGCGAGGGTGAGTTTGTTGGAGCTGCGGTTAATTTTGTTTAGATATTGGTTTTTACTGTTAGAATTGAAGGCATTGTTGGAGTTGGATGGTTATTTTAGTTTTAGTTAACCAGCTGGTTTAGTTTCAAGTGAAGGCACCAGTCTACCGGTAAAATGGTTATCACAGTCAATGAGTCAACAGTCTATCACATTTCTTTATTCTAATGCAGAACGAGAATTTGAATTAGAAGCTCTTTCAATAGTGATAAATGAGGTATCACTGTATGAAAAACTAATTTGGACCTGGGACCTATTTCAATATCTGAATTTTGACTTTCATTCCCTTATTTGGCTAATTCCGTTGATTGCTGAATTCCTTTCTTCTTCTTCTTATTTATTTATTTATTTATTATCTTTTTTCTATTGATGCTATGTTTTGACTTTTTTATGTTACCTTATTTAGGAGGGTGTATTCAATTTAGATTTTAAATGATTTTAAAAGAGTTATAAAGTTGATGGAGTTTAATTGAATTTGATTGTGTTTGATTGAATTCTACAAACTCCACATAGATTTTGACTAAATTCGTGTATAGATTTTAATTGAGTTTGTTAGAATTTTATTATTGATTTTAATGGAGTTTATAGCAATGGCGATGGTGGTGATGGCAATGGCGGTGGCGATGGTGGTTTTTGAATATACCCCAACTTTTATGAAATCTTTTAAAGTCGTGATTGAATACATCCAAATATGAATGGGGTTTAAAAAGTTTGACTTGAATACACTCAGAATTGAATAGACTTTTATAATATCGTGATTGAATACACCTAAACTTGTAAACTTCTTTAAAATCTTTTAAAATCTAAATTGAATACATTCTATTCTATGCCACTTTTAGTAATAACGAATTCTTCTGCCATATTTTTGGTTTTTCTTGTTGATTAAAAAAAGGATAGAATTTTATTAGATAAAAAGGAACGATAGTATAAAGGAGACATAAGTAAAGCTTTTCAAGTGACTTAAACAAAGAGGGAATAAGAGGTTCGGACGAAGGTTTTGGGCCAGCCATGGTTTAGTGAGCGTAAATAAAATAACAATGTAAGGGTTAGTTTAGTATTCTAAAATTTGGTTGGATATAGAGAATAAATCAGGATTTGGAAGGCCAAAAAATGCGGTTTTTCAAAAATGAAATTTGGGTGTAGTGAGTGATTGGATGCACTGCTCAAGTATTTGGGTGCATTTAGAAATTCTCAAATAAAACCTCTCAACTGTGGACAGCTCGTCTAAAAGAATAATTGCGCCTGGGCCACAACACGACACCACAATGCAAATGTTATAGCCTCTGAATGTTAGCCCATACGAAATAAAGAAGGCCTCCAGCAGCATCATGTGGACTCCCGTCAACATTTTCATACCAATTGGTACTAAATAAAGCTTTTATGGAAAACACATGCTTTATTTTGTCACGCGATGAGAGAGATATATATATATATATATGTAATTTTATACAATCGATGACACTTAAAATTTCTCAAAACTTATGACATGCTTATTGATACCTAGCCATAATAAGTCCGATCGGAATAAAATAAAATCGGGATGAACCATTCTATCTTCCAAACGGAGATGGCTGGCTCTTCCTAGAAATTAGAATGAGAGTTGATCAGTGAGCATCCCCTCATTACCAAACCACAAGATTTAAAAAAAATTATATATATATATATATATATATATATATATGAGGAAAGCAAAGCATTAGAATGACATCACGAAAAAGTACGCAGAAAAATGAGTTGATCAGACGTTTGTATATTGGCCAAACTTTTCTGGAAGTACATTTGCTTACCCTGAAAATGAGGCTGAAAATGATACGCCAATAAGTAAGCAATGACTTGACCACGCTACACTGAAAACAGTGAGTATAGTGTCTTGGTAGTTGAAAAGAACAAATTTCTTCATAAAGTAATGCAGTAAGTGTTACTCATCAGGTCAGGTCTTTGCCTGCCACTGAAAACAATGAAAAGCTTTCTAGTAAGATAACAGAGCATGTCTCCATGAATTGTTATTATACTCTGTTATCACCTTTCACTTTCCATGAATTGGTCAAAAGAATTTAATTTCCATATCTTAAAGTAAAAGTGTGAAATCCTGTGTGAACAGAATAAGATTACATGAACAATACCAGAACAACAACCATCACAAAAAGATGGCTAAATGGAGGGAGACTGATGAAGAATGGTGTTGAAATAGTGAATAGTGGGAGGTTAGATCTTGCATGCGCATTGATCAATTTATTGGTTGGTATCAGACTTCTCTCTGCTTCATCATTCATGGTTCTTCTTTTGAATTTAGTGGAAGATTGAAGAGAAGTTGATGTTAGCCTGCACTAATGAATACTTTATTGATACTTGAACTCCAGCATGATCAGATTCAGGTCACTAATGGGGTCAATGCAAAAATAATCAACTTCCTAATTAATTACTTCATCATCATGATTGGATAATTAAAAGGTACTTCTAGCAAGGTAGTGTTTTGACTAGTTCTGCGATCATAATTGTTTTGTTTTTTGTTTTTGTTTTTATAAGACTTTTCCTATTGAATGAGGTAATAATATATTAAACTCACACACACTACACGGATGCTAGGACTCGATCCCTAGAACCTTGCCTGAGAGAGCAATTACTCCAAACCACTACACTAGTGAGTCCTTTACTTATTTTTATACATCTATTATAAAGATGAAAGGGGGTGTATTCAATTGAGATTTTAATAGATTGTTTTGAAGCTTAAAAGTCCAGTGGTATCCAATTAAGATTTTTAAGTAATCAATAAAAATCTAGTGGTATTCAATTAAGATTTTTAAATAATCAATCCAAGTCTTGTGGTATTTAATTATGACTTTTAAAAGATAAGAAAAAGTACGGTGGTATTAAAAAACTTATCGATTTTGAGGTATTTCGTTAAATTGTGTATTGTGTGAGACTTTTGAGTGCGTGATATAAATACCAAACCCCATAAAAAAATCCCACCCTCCTATGCCTGATTCTCACGTTTTTTATTTTTGGGGAAGATGAACAAATGAAGATAAACAGGTACACATGTTTTTACAAGAGCTTGGTTTAACCAGATTCGATCCTTTTGTATTTAGTGGATAGACTCAGATAGCTGTCTTTGTTTTCTTTGCTTTCTCTAGTCTATCTTGTTTTCTTTTTCTCCTGGCTGTTTGGTTGCAAGAGGTGTTCCCGCCTTTCTTTTGGCTTGATGTCTATACTATTTGTTCGCTTTCATCTTATGTATAATCTCTTTGCCCGATAAAAAAGGACACTCAGATGGCTTACCTTCAGATATCTAAACAATAATTTCATATACGTTGCTTTCAATAGTTGTTCATATTATGCAATATGCTGCATTTTTCTCAATAGATTTTCAGCTCATTTATTTCCTTTGATTTATTTGTCTTTCTTTAGTCAATTTGTGGACTTAATTTGAGTGACAAGTGTTCTATACTAGTATCATGTCATAGATGGACCATTTTAACTTGTTTTCAGTTGTCCAGTTTCTTATTTGAATTGATTCAATTAACTTGTCTGTTGTAATATTTATAAATTCAATTAATTCAAGATTTTTCCTTCTTGTAGCTTGTTTCCCATGTCAATTCTTAGTTCCATACCAAGTTCTCTATCCAAAACTTAATAGCTGATGCGATTAATTGCAAGTGGACAATATCACTCAAATTAATGTAGTAGTAAGTAGAGTATCGTTTCAATAGGGATCAAGTAATCTATTAAATACTAGAGTGATTTATTTCTAATTATATTTGAATTAAACGAAAAGAGAATTATAATGATTAAAATCTAATTAAGCAAGCAAAATAAATTGAGATTAAGGAAATAATGTAAAAGATGATAAAACACTAGGGCACCGATTTCACCTAGCTAATCCCACCCAAATCTTTCTAGCTTGTTAATTCTAGTTACCTAACATGTTGATAATCGTTTTCCCTTACCTCACCAATACTCTCTTCCGAGTTATATTAGTTGTATTCCTTACCATCAACCCACTCTATTCCTAGTTATGGATTTAGATAGCTAAGAACCCATTAAGATTTGTGGAAAACAATGAAGATTACACAAACCATAACCTAATCTTCCGAGTCGGCTATGTAATTTATGGTACTTGTTACAAGAAGCTTTTTATTAGGAATCTCCTTCCGGTCTCAACCTAATTCTCCCAATCATGCAATTAGTGGCCAAATAATTGAAAGCATTAAGAACGGTAACAAGCACTCAACATGTATAGATAAATAAAATTAACAATATCAAAGAATTTGAGTATTCATAGATAGGCTACGTCATAGCCCTAGTAAAAGAAATTAGTTCATGAAGGACTTATTGAGAATCATGATAGTTGATGAAAACATGGAAGACATTGAATTCTCCAAGTAGAATGCCAAGGTTGTGCAAGCTTTCTTCGTATTCTCCTTTGGATATTTCAGCTATAAGTATGAATATGTAGGATGATGGATGATGGATGATGGATGATGGAGGATGGAGGATGATGGTTCCTCTGAACAATGACCTAAACTTCCTATTTATAAGACTCCTAGAAATCCTATCTAATGTATAATTACAATTGTCATAAAAGTAGGATTCCTTCTTAAATAGGATCTTCTTTATTTCTCCTTATTTGACTTGATTAATCTCCAATCTTCATCTTCTTGCCCTTTTTAGCACACTTTCTCCTATTTCCACAATTCCTTCACAAATCTCACAAAACCAATTAAAACAACCAATTTAATCAAAGGAAATTAACAAATAAATAAGTAAAGTAGGCATAAAATATATATAAAATATAGGCTTATCAATAGCGGTATGGTTTTAGTTTAATGATAGTTATGTTTGAAGTTTGGGACCGCTATGGATTTAGCTCTAAAACAGGATGATTTGAAGAAAGCCATACATGACAAATAGTAATGATAACTTGAGGTAAGATTGGTGTAACTTCAACTTTCTGCTTCTTTAAAGGCTTGGCATCCTTTAACTAATGGATGAAAGATGGCTAACCCGAATCCAATCCACACTTCGGTGAAATCTACTTTGGAAAATACAAGAAAGTCCTACATGAATTAAAATCATAAGTAAAATCTTGTAATTACAATCTATTAAAATCATAAGAAAAATCATGTAATTACAAATCATGCTGAAATCTATTACATTAAAATCATGTAATTATAATATATTAAAATCTCAATTGAATACACCCCCGGAAATGTGATGGCTCTTTGGCCTTTTTCATCTTAAAATGACCCTTTGTTTGGTTCAAAGTGTTAAAACCAATTGAAGACAAATTAGCAAGTAAAATTGAATTGAGGGAATCACAAATCAGAATCTTTTACCGTCTCATGAATTTTTTTATTGCATATCTGTCGCGGTTTCGAATAGTCCTTTAGGAAAAAGTTTACATCACATTACTTTGATATATACAAATCAATATTTATTTATTTTATTTGGAAAAAAACAAGAAGTATTTCTTGTTAATTTGGAAAATATACTTCTGTCTTGCTCTGTTCCAAGCCGAATGAATTATGGTTGCATTTGTCTTTTTGTTGTTTAACATATTTTAAGGTTTAGTTGCACTGCTTAGGAATAAAAGGAAGCATAGTCCTCCTGATTTAATTTAGTTATTAATTAAGGTATTTTCATTAATCTTTTTGAGAATTTTGTTGAAGTAATTTAAGTTCAAAATTCTTATGTAAAATAATTGATGAATACCAATCATAACTTCACACGTATTTTAAGAAGCTATTTCCCGTTGTAAGCTGTTCATATGAATTTGTTTACTTCGAGAAATGAATCCTTATCCTCAAGTGATTATTCTTGGATTAATTCCTAAAGCGGATGTATGATCATGTTAAAAAGGGAAAATAAATTTTGTTGAATCTTATCCAACCTATTAACCATAAGTGGGAAAATATTCTGAACAACCAAATTGACATGAACATTTTCTATTTTTGAATGGTTGCCAACTGAGACCGGCATGATTGGAAATATTTTTGCTCCTATTTTAACTCAAGGTCACACTCACCACTATTCTTAATACTTGACACATGTCTATAGTCTATAGACATAACTATGATTAACTTTTTACTTTGATTTATGTAATATGGACACTTGTCAAGTGTTGAGAAGAGTGGTGAGTATATATACATTGAGTTAAAATGGTGGGCAAAAATTCTCCCTGGCATGATTTATTTCTAGATGAAGTCCCTACATGGCCTTTGGTTGCTAAAGTCTTGCAAAACCAACTCCCATGTTTCAAAGACTTGGCAAATAATGTGGGAGCCCTATAAGGTAGCGAATTAAAAGCGCTTTAGGGAAGTTATGAAAAGCCATTCATGTCCACTCTGTATTTCCGGTGGGTAGATGAGGCAGCTTTCAATGCCCTTTTGCTATTTCACAAGCTATACATGCGACATTTTCAACGATATCTACTATGGAAATTGTCATCTAAAGCAAAGAAAGAAAAAAGAAAAGAAAAAAAGAAACCAACAAGAGCATAAAGCCCTATCCTTTTCATCTTAGTCAACATCTCTCTCTCTCTCTCTCTCTCTCTTCCTGGACTTTTGTGGATACCATAAATTGAGTTGTCCTGGCAGGGTTTTTTCCTCACTCCAAGGTTGGAAGAGAAAGCAGAAACAATCTCTCCTTTTCGGGTCACCTTTGCTCTCTCCTTCTTCTATCTCCTTCTTCTCTCTCAGCTAGTCTTCGTGCTTTAAGTTTAAGCCATGGCTGAGACTTCAGGAGCTAATGGTAATGGAACCCATGTTTTTAATGTGGAAGATGGTGATGGCAACAGTCACAGACTTTCCCAATCTTCCACCAAAACCAACCAAGAATCAAGCAGTTTTGGTCTCTCTGTGCCTTTCATGCAGAAGGTGACTTTAAATTATTTTTGTTTCAGTTACTTTTTGGCTCAAACTCAATTGCAAATGTTGTGTTTCAGTTTCAAAACCATTTGAAATCCTTTGATGCTTATCCTCACCACCAATTAATCTCTCCAAGTTGTGTCATATTAAACTCAAATGCAAAAAAAAGAAAAAGAAAAAAAAAGCTTAGAAATTGTTGAGGCAACAAATTAAACTCAAAGGAAATGTTGAATAATAAAGTGGAAATCTTTTGTGGGACAGGTGATTGCTGAGGTGTTGGGTACATACTTCGTGGTATTTGCAGGCTGTGGGGCTGTGGTGGTGAATTTGAGCACAGATAAGACGGTGTCCGCTCCAGGAATTTCAATTGTTTGGGGACTGGTTGTGATGGTCATGGTTTACTCCGTTGGTCACATCTCCGGTGCCCATTTTAATCCTGCTGTCACCATTGCTTTTGCCATTACCAAGAGGCTTCCATGGAAACAGGTGAGCTAACCAAACCAACCCATGATTTTTTCTTTTCTTTTGTAATTGGTAAACTACACACATCTTCTTCCCGATGTTTGGTTGTTCTACATATAAAAAATTATGTTTCTTCCTGAACAAGGTTATTTCTAAGCAAAGACATCATGTGTTCAACTCAAAACACCAATCAGATTTGTTTCAATCAATTTATTGTCAAATTAAACTTATAGATGGATGCTATATCATCACATTTCTCTTCCCAATTCAATCTATTCTGTTTTGAATTTTATAGGTACCGGCTTACATAGCAGCTCAAGTCCTTGGATCAACACTTGCAAGTGGTACCCTTAGACTGATATTCCAGGGGCACCAGAACCATTTTGCTGGAACACTTCCTACTGGAAATCCCTGGCAGTCATTTGCGATTGAGTTCGTTATCACATTTTACCTCATGTTTGTTATTTCTGGTGTTGCCACAGATAACAGAGCGGTGATTACTTCTTCTCCCTCTTTGTGCCTCAGCATTTGACAACATTGGTCCAAATTTCCCAATTAAAATACTTAACCAATATGGTTGATTACCAACAAGGGTTGGTGTCTAATGACTTGCTTAACTTGTTAGACTAATATAATTGGATTTGGGAATACAATTATATCATTTAATTACCCTTAGTATATTCCAAAAAGTCTGCATCATATAATATTATTCATGTTAAACTATTACAGAGACCGTGACATGAGGATCTGATGGCGATCTTATCTTTCTTCTTTTGTTTGTTTATGCAGATTGGAGAGCTTGCCGGGCTTGCGGTTGGCGCTACGGTTCTTCTTAACGTGATGTTTGCGGGGTAATAACTTATTAATAATATCCTCTAAACACACATATACTCTTTGATTAAATATATTCTTCGCCTAATAAGCAGCGTGACATATGGTTTCCCATTTGGAAGTTATCAACAAACTCAAATTAAGAACTTTGCATTAATCTTTGTGCTTTAATTAGAAATTAAGATCTGTGTCTTAATGATTTGGGGTGATGTATAATTCTGCAGGCCAATCTCAGGAGCATCAATGAACCCAGCAAGAAGCATAGGACCTGCAATTGTTTCAACCCAATATAAGCACCTGTGGGTTTACATTTTTGCACCAACTCTTGGGGCTGTGTGTGGTGCTTTGGTCTATAATGTTATCAGGTTCACAGACAAGCCTCTGCGTGAGATCACCAAGAGTAGCTCTTTCTTAAAAGCCGTGGGAAGCAAGTAACGGCTCCAGTTGTTGATGAAGAAATTAGAGAGGCAAAAAAAGGGTTACATTAACTAGTTAATTATGCACAAAAAGAAAAGAGAAACAAATCAAGATCATTTTTATGGTTTAAGCACCTTTAAATTGCTCTTTTGTATTTTGTTTTTTTATAGAAAGGAAAGGAAATTTGAATTCCCATGTTTGTATGTTACCATATAATGTGTCATCTTCTTATATATCAAATATCCATTGACCGACACACGGGTTAAGAAATCAAAGTATGTTTTATGTCTTTGAAATACATGTTCTTATTATCGTAGTATTTTATAATTTCTCCTCCGAAGGAAAATACAATTTTTTTACAACGTGCAAGGATTGAATTCTTCTAATAAAGTAAGTCACTGGAAACACGTGGAGAAAGGAAGGGGAAGACAAGAGATTCAAGGAATGCGTTTTTAGTCGATAAGGACAAGATTAAAGTATTTTCTTTCTTTTTTGGTCAAAATTTGTAAAAGTTTTGTGGGTATGGAATCACATGAATCCTGTTCATAAATGCCATGAACGTTTCGACTGTTTTTGGTAGGAAACAGATATTCTCATCATAAGTCTATTTTAGAAACATTTTTATTAGAAATGAGTCAAAATCTTTATTAGAAGTCAATAAATAAATAAACATGAAAGCAAATAAAAATAAAAATCAAAGCAGCAAAGCTAGAACAGTCAGCACTCATGTGCCTCATCGCTGACCAGCATGAGCTGTGTGATTTGGATTTGTATAATGCTTGTCCCTATGCCTTATAATTTGTTCTATATCCATTCTATATTATTATTAGCAACGAAAGTTGGAACAATTCATGTTTCTTATGCTCTGTGTTATTTTATTTCATTCATTCATTTCATGATTTTCAACATCTTATCCAATGTTTTATCTACTTCCCTCTAGCTTTTAAGAGGATCATTTAAAGCCTTCGACTGCATTCTGTGAATGCCGTTGGGGAATTACCAGTCAGAAATAGCCCCAGCACATGAGAGAGAGAGAGAGAGAGAGAGAGAGAGAGAGAGAGAGAGAGAGAGAGAGAGAACCAAGTCCATGTAAAACACCCTTACAACCATACCATGGTTTTTGTTGATTGAAATCTGAATAATGAAAGACTAAACAGTTGTTTTTGGCGCAAGAAGTGTGTAGCTCAAGTGGTTAAGACATTTGGTTAAGACATTTGCCCAGTACAGAGAACACCTCTCACTTTCCATTGTTTGGTGAGACAACAGTAGAGTGACCTGAAGCAGCAAAATGAAAACATGTTCTGATGCAGTGTTTGATTGTTATCACCTTTACTGTCATAATCTGAAGAGTTTCCAAGAACGGAGCTGTCAATCTATCTGGTTTCCACTGGTTATGTCTAGTGTCCTACAGAAAATTTCCTAAATTCCCAACCAATTTAAAACCATTTCATAAGCTTGCTAAATGAGTGAACTGAAGAGCAACATAATTCACATGTACAACAGCTAAAACGCCAATGGCTAAATGAGTAAATATAGTATACAAGTGTTAAAAAAACACTGCTCCTCCAACATTTATAAGGAAAGAAGCGTTCCAACATGCGAAAAACATTATTTACAACGTGGTTATAAAAAAATGGGTGGAAAAATTTAAGTTAGATACTATAGAATTGAATAGGTTAAATAGTGACAAAATATATCAAAAGTTTCCCTACTTCCATAGTTACCGGCATTTTCCCTACTAATTTCGTACTGGGAGGCTGCTTTGAGTGGCACTGCTGCTAACAGAACCAACCCTTGGTCTTGCTTTTGGAATAATTAATGGTCTGCAGCAGATTAGAGTAACGAGCATCTCCATCATAAACAACATCATGCTCATCCATACAAATATAGATTTCTTCCAATTCCATATAAACCTTTTAAATAGTGGAAGTTCTGACTCAAGGGTCACCGATGCATCATATATTTGGGGAATACCGGCACCAGGCTGATATTCAGCACGTTGTTCAATTGTCAGCTTTAAGCAGGCAGTAGGAACTTCACCTTGGATAAACCCTCTGAACTTCAGATTCAGAGTTTGGGATTCCGAAACATAGCCGGCAACAAGAGGAACAACCTTAAGAAAAGTCAATAGAAGGCGGATAGGCTCGCTTTTGAATTGTAACATGCATGGATGGCTTGAACTGGCAAGGGTTTTACCATAGACAGACAGGAACTGTACCCTGACCTACATAAACAAAATGAACTTGGTCAAATAAACACTCATCAATATGAAAATGGAAACAAAGAATCATGATAGCAAAACCTTGTAACTACTTTAGAATCCATTGCAATAAGTACATAAAGAAATAGACAACAAAAATGAGACGGAAAAAGAAGGATAAGCTTGAAGGAAATAGCATTTCTCCTCTTTCGGGTTTCAATTACATTGCACAATGTGAAAAGTGGCTTGAGATCACACCATCCGGTTGCGAATATCACAATATGAAGTTATCTGCAGTATTTTATCATGTACTTGTATTGCAACTTCATCATAGTCCTACTAAATTCAGCGTAAAAAAGATATTTAATTTGGACGCTCTTCTTGATGAATTGAAAATCGGATGTAAACAAGGTTCACTGAACTTGGAAATAAATATACTAGCTCTTTTCTTTCCCATTGTGTCAACAACTCAACTTCCTTGCTTACCCTGATACCAGGAAAACATTTAACTGATAACTAGATCTCCAAACATAAGAGCAGCATCACCAGATTTCTTTAGAAAAATCCATGCTTTAGATCCAACTGAAAGATTTACTAATTACTGTTCATATCACACAGTTTTCTGAGGTGCCTATGCCTTCTAAAATTAAGCGACAACTATCACATACAAATTAGGTCCATCCCGAACCTAAGATCCATATACCAGTATTATGTTCACCCTTTTACATTAGCAATCGGTCCGATTATTGTTTATGCAATAATTGTAGGACAAACTAAAGTCTATCATGAAACAGAAAACTTGAAAAAACCAAATTTATTATGTATTAACCAAACGACAAGACTCGTGATATTAGTCTGAAACAAGAAATAGAAATTCACATTTAGTAAATCAAGTACCTGAAAGACCCCAAGATTCCTGTTGTACTCTGATTCAGGCAATACGAATGAAACAGTGACCGCCACTTTGTGACCACGAGGTATAGCTCGAAACCCGAAACTCTCCCCAGCTTGAACCTTTTCTTTACAATCCGCACCACAACTGGCACCGGCACACGACATTACCGGTACATAGGCCACCGGACTGTGCTTAGTGTAATCAAAGTTCAACATATCCTTCATATGCATTGGCTCGGCCACGATGCTCCTCATCAAAACTCCACTAAACACAAGCGACGTGACCAAAAGACCACACAAAACGAAACAAACATAGCATGACCAAAACAAACCCCACCCACATCGCAATGCCACCTTCCAGACCGAGTTGTTGTCCTTCAACCACTGGAAAACCAGGGGACTCACATACCCACCAGCCAATTTCCATAAATTTAACACCTCTGTGATCAAATACTCTCGGCCTCGACGCACAATTTGGAAGGGGTCGATGACAAGCATGTAAGAATGGTGCAAAATCCACATGGGAAATGTAAAGATGCTAATGAATAAGTTAATTTGGAGCCCAATTGCCTTGATTATCATCCCGGCCAAAAACACAAGAAGGTTAAAAGAAGAGTCACCGAGTTGTGCGGCCGAGTCGGCCGATTCACCAACTATGTCGTCATTCCCGGCAGTAGTTACAGTCGAACCCTCGTTGTTCTGGTCACTCGGAACTTGCACTGAGCTGACTCCGTCCCGAGTCGACTCGGGCTCCTTCAAACTCCGGCGAAGCTTAAATTTTCTGGCTCTGATACTCAGCCTCGTGTCGTTGATCGAGTCAATTTCGGAGCTGAGAGTGGATTCTAAAGTGGAAGTCTTCGAATCGTCGCCGGAGATTGCTCGGCGAGATGATCGGCGGCGGAGGCTGGTGGCCTGAGAAGGTGTGGAGTCTGGGAAAGATAGTGTGGAGGGTGACGTGAACTGATCTGATTGATCGGTGGTGGAGGGGAAGTCGTCGAGGGCGTCGAAGAAAACGTCGTCGTCTTCTTCATTGTTTGAGGTGGGAGGTTCTGTAACTTCCATTGGCGATGTTGCGTGGGGCTGGAGTTGCGGCTATCGGTTTCAGCTAATTATTTACGCATACGAATAAAACGGTGCGTGTTGATCCTTTAAATTTATTTTTTGAGGTACAGATTTTATATTTATTTTTAATTTCGTCAAGTTCTGACCTTTTAAGTTCCATGACTTCGTCTGCTCAGTTTATCTACGTGTCTGTAATGGGCAGCCCACATGTCATATTAAAGTAGGCTAATTGAAGAACCCTAAGCTTGCTTGATGCTCAAGGGGTCAAGTCCTCTGGTTCATGCATGTCTGCTTGATGAAATTACTAAAATCAGACATAAAGTCCACAAAAAAGATCAATGAAATGCTAATTTGACATGTTATTAAATTCATCGCAACAATTTAATTTTAATGGACAATTGGAAAGACCGCATCTTTATTCATTTGCCTTTTTTTTTTCACTCTTTAAGGATCTGTTTAGTTTATGAAAATTGAGATTCGGAATGGGAAATCAAATGATATTAATTGTAGACTATTGCTAGAGTTTCACAAGAATCCTGAAACTGCTTTATCTTCATCTGCCTGGGCAAAATTACAGTAGTAGCCCCTTTAAAAAGGAAAAGGTGAAGATCATTAGGCTAAGCATGCGTCCCCCCTCATTCATGTCTGCTAAAAGTCAAAAATAAAAAAAAGCAAAAAAGCTACTTTAAAACAGATATTTTATATTCGGAATATTCTGATATTGTTGACAAATGTGTCACTCACTACAAGTTCATCTTTCCTTTTTCTTCTCTTTTCATATACTCGTTTGTTTATATCTTGATTGTTATGAATATTATCGAGTCAGTGCAAGGTTTCAAGAGCAGCATCAGATAGTTCTTCTCTCACAAAACCCACATCCCTCCTCAGAACCTCATAACTTTCAAAGATTGCTTTTACTCCTTGCATCAAATTGTGTTTCTTACCAACTTGCATCATTGCACGAGCTTCCTTTTTTCACATCTGGGTGGGCCGATTGCATGCATTAGTTGCTATTGCAGAAACCCAATTACTACCATTTCCTAATTGTTGATGATGCTGGTTGGTAATGTCTTTGTTTGCTTCATTACTGCATTTAGTTGCTTCACACTGCTGGAACTTGCTGAATCTAAGCTGCCCCAAGAGGAAGGTGAGTGCTTATCTTTCTACTGTTGGCAATCCCTGGTTGTTTATGAGAAAATGTTACAAAGAAAGTCTTTATCTTGGTACATACAAGGACTCATAAAAGTTGATTGGATTAGTTGGCCTGATCTTTTCATTTCATAATAAGAATGGGTAGTTTTCTTTTATCAATTTTCTATATTTCTTGGCAACCAAACTGGAAAGTGTGGTCTTTTGCATTTTAGAGTCATTCAATGAGCTAGGTTTAGTTCAACTTTTGCCCTGAAAACCACTCATAACACAACTCACTGACTTCTCTGCTCTAGATCATTTGGTATTCTCGCGGCCTTGCCATTTGTGTTTTATATGCTCATCTCATTTTACTTTGATTTTCTATATGATGCTTATATGGTTTGAAAATGGATGCCTTTTAGTTGATGCCCTCCAACAAATTACTACCACAATGGGCGCAAAATATTGGAGGTTTAACAATGATGCTTGCCGAATTGAAATGGTGGGTCTAATGGAGAAGCCACCAAAGGGAGCCCAGAGCAACACTGATTGTGAATGCTACTTTGAGAACAACACTGTTTGTCATGTCGTAAAACTGTATGAGTCTTAACTCAGTTTTATATCAATTGTTCCGTTTTGGCTTATGAAAATGCCTTCCATGTCACAAAGCTCTGTTTGTTTATGATTTGGCTATTTGCTATTAGTTTCTCTCTGCTTAATCTTTGATTATTTGTTTAACGTTTTACAGAATGCTCAAGGGTTATAGTTTACCTGGTTTGCTTCCACCTCAACTGGTCAAGCTTCCTTACCTCAGAGAAATGTAAGAACTATCATATTTGATTTACATGATGCTCAAGATTTGGATGGTACTTATCTTTATTTATTAATTAAAGTAGCCTTTCTTTCCTTGTAGTGATTTTGCTTACAACTATCTCAATGGTTCAATACCACTGGAATGGGCTTCAACGAAACTAACTTATATGTGAGCCTTTCGAATTTATGTAATGAAGTTCTAATTTAGTAGCTATGTATATTCATTAGTGACTTCTCTGCAGTTCTGTTCTGGTCAATCGCTTATCAGGGCAAATTCCAAAGGAGCTAGGAAACATTACCACTCTGACATACCTGTACGTATTGCGATTTGGTTTATCTCAATTTTTAGGACTTGGACACTGATTGCGATTAAAGTTCTTGTGATCTTTGTGAAACTATACTAGGAGGGTCTCTAATTTCCTTGTTACATGCCTTGCTAACTGCTATCTGACCTCTGCTGGAAACGGAACTCTGTCAGGAGCCTTGATATCCTAGTGATGATAAATCAACTTTATTTACTTTTTTCTTTCATAAATCAGGAGCCTTGAATCAAACCAATTTTCTGGTGTTCTTCCTATTGAGCTTGGGAACTTGATCAATTTGCAGACCTTGTAAGTCATCAAATCCTCACTTTCAGATGTCTGGCCTCGTGTGTTCATATTTACTCGCTGCATGTTGCAAATGTAGGATGCTTTCCTCCAATCAGCTGACTGGAAACTTACCAGAGACGTTTTCTGGGATAAGAACTTTGACAGATTTGTAAGGTTTACTTATATATTGTTTCTCTTTTGTAACATTTATACTGTTTCGTGTGTCTAATCGGCAAAATTCTAATGCATTTTAGCCGAATAAATGATAACAACTTCAATGGAACACTCCCTGATTGGGTGCAGAACTGGAAACAACTCAGAAGATTGTAAGATCTTTATATTTATGAAAAAATTATTTCCATTGCTTGTCGACTTTTTAAGACTTTTTAAGGGTTATTTCCACTAATCCTTCTAAAAACTTGTCTTGTTGAAGGGAAATGCATTCAAGCGGACTGGAGGGACCCATTCCATCAAATATTTCTCAATTGAACAATTTAAATGAGTTGTGAGTAATTTGGACCCTCATTCTGCTCGGTAATCTTTTGAATGATCTTTCCTATGTATTTGATTAATAGTTTTATACATCATGGTATATCTTTGTGCAGGAGGATTAGTGATTTAAATGGGCCAATTCAGGAATTTCCTTTGCTGAGAAATATGACAGGCATAGTAAGATTGTATGTTGAGAGCTTCATCATTAAATACTTTGAGTGTTTCATGTACATCTATAATCAGAACGAAGCGTGCACTAACATTCCACACCCATACGCACAATCATGTTTTCCTACCTATTGTTAGAACAAAATCCAATTGTTGACAAAAGCATATTATTGGGATCAGCTTTTGATCCAACAGTTAGTGAGCATTAATTGCGTGCTCATCGCTGAGTAGGAGATCATAATTGTATGCGTACATATTTCTTTTTCCGTACAACTTATATGTACTGTTATTTTTCTTTCCAATAGCTGTAACTATGAGCTGTTTCATGCTAATTCGTTTAACTAATTCAAGGGTTTTGAGGAACTGCAACATTTTTGGGGAGATCCCTGCATATATCTGGTCCATGAAGAATCTGACGATGTTGTAAGTAATAAAAGTTGTATCAACTTTACTTTGGATGCTTGAATCACCCCAAACACACACAGACATGAATATGTGCAGCAGTCTCCCACTCTACTGTTAGGATGGAGATTAATTGATTGTTATTGTGCAATTGTGATAGGGATGTCAGTTTCAACAAGTTAGTGGGTGAACTTTCATCCACAATAGGAGCTGTGCGTCTGAAATTTGTGTAAGTGTGAAATTCTTTAAAAAATTTATACTATCAGTTAGGTGAAATTTCATCTATAACAGTTTTTTATATATCTTAAAATCTTGCTTGTTGTTCAAGAACCATGTCATAGAAATGCAACCAAACTGATGAAGCCAGTATCTTTCTTGATAGAATTGATGTACAATACTAATACTTGGTATTGCTTTGTTAGCTTTTTGACTGGCAACCTGCTAAGTGGAAATGTGCCACAGTCAATCTTGCGAGATGGAAATAGCGTGTACGTCTGCTATCTGCAATGCTTTGTATTAACTTTGGATTCTTTTTTATATATTTATACTTTACTAAGTTCTAACTGCGGTGTCATGTGTGTCTACCATTGTATATTCTAATTTCTAAACATTTCCCCTTCTTATTATCTAATGACAGGTTCCTGTTATGTTTCAAAGCTGACAGTTGTTTTTTCTATGCTTTATGCAGTGATTTGTCATACAATAACTTCACGTTGCAAGGCCCACCGGATTGTCAAGAAAACTTGTCAGAATAGAATCTAATATCTCTTTAGATTATTTTTCAGATTATGTGGTTTGAAGAAACTGATAGTTGTTTCACGGCATCTGTTTTTCAGGAATCTAAATCTGAACTTGTACCGGAGCTCTTCGAAGGAGAACAACTCGTAAGATCCTTCTTTAAGATTTACTTTTCGCTCTCTTCAATTTATAATTATATATGGACAATGCTCCAAATTTGCTTATTTATCTTTGGTTCATTCTGTGACAGAATGGGAATTCTTCCATGCTGGAAGAATTTTAAGTGCTCACGATGTAAGTATACATCTTCTAGAGTTTGAATATTATGGAGTGCTATCTGACTAATTTGAGTTTCATTTGAATTATTTCACAATTAAAAAATTTAAGTGCACACATATAACTTCAACAATTAAATAAAAAACTGATTACAGCAATGAAGATGTAAATTACAAACAGAAGAATGCGAGCTGAAATAAATAACAAAAAGGTTTAATGAATGACCGTAAAATGGTGTATTGAATGACTGTGATGATCTAGAAGTATAGCAAATGGATAGGGCATTGCATAGGTATTTCGTTCACTCCTTTCACCATCTTTGGATTGTTGTGGAATTCCAAAGACCCTAAGCAAAATTGTACTAGATGGCTTTTGTATCATGCTTAATGTTGTACTGCCTACCTCATATTTGTCCTCATTAAATTTTTTTTGGTTTATTTTGGATAGATTCAAAATGTATGCATGTTAATTGTGGTGGAGGTGACATAACGTTCAAGGACGAGAATAACACAAAGGTTTTGTATGAAGGAGATGGAGCAGTTGAAGGTGGTACTGCAAAATATTATAGAAATGACAGAAGTATGTGGGGATTTAGCAGCACTGGTGACTTCATGGATGACTACGATTTACAGAATACACGTTACTCTATATCTCTGGCATCTTCGAATCTCTCTGAATTATATACAACAGCACGCATATCTCCAATTTCACTTACTTATTTCTTCTATTGTTTAGAAAATGGGAGTTACACTATAACTCTCCATTTTGCGGAGATCAAGTTCACAAATGACAAACGATACAGTAGTCTGGGGAGGCGTATTTTTGATATCTATATTCAGGTACTTAGCTAGCACTAATCAAAATGCCAACCTTTATGTAATTGCAACTCGAAGATTTGATAAGACAACTTTTTCACAGGAAATATTGGTGTGGAAGGATTTCAATATTGAAGATAAGGCAGGTATGGCTCAAAAGAAGTTGGTTAAACAAGTACCTAATGTCAATGTGACAAGTAATGTCTTAGAGATCCGATTCTATTGGGCCGGAAAAGGGACAACGAGGACTCCTGAGAGAGGAGATTATGGTCCCCTTATATCAGCTATTTCTGTGGTTTCCAGTGAGTCAGTCTTGTCAACGTTCCTACATTTTCACTTTAGTACTATTATCTCAGATTGAGTTAAGATTTTTTTGGTCTAAAGATTATGTGAAGTTTGTGTAGTTCAAACATCTAGAAACATATTGGGCTCACCGCCCTTGCCGCCCCTTATTAGCGGGCCCTGAATATGTTAATTCTTCACATTTCATGATTATTCCTATCTGAGCAAAACAAATGTCTATATAGTCAAGCATTATCTTCTTGTTTGCTCAAAATTTTTTTCTAGTGAATGTAACTTGTTTAGTTTATTCTTTTGGCCAGATCTTAAACCTTGTACAAATGGTGGAAATGCACGAACTATTTATATTGTTGCTGGTGTTGCCGTTGGGGCACTATGCCTAACACTCTTCATACTGGCAATCCTTTGGTGGAAAGGATTCTTGCGAGGGAAAGGAGGGAGACAAAAAGGTGCATGTTACATTGAACATCCCATTCTCAAATTGATCACTTGCAGATTATCTATTAATTTGTATATAAGTTATTTGCCAAGAAAACTAAAATTAAAAATTATTTGGTATACTTTATATCCTTCTTGGACATAATTGTAGGACAAGATATGCAGACAGGGACGTTTACTTTGAAACAAATAAAAGTGGCCACTGATGACTTTGATCCTTCAAACAAGATTGGAGAAGGTGGTTTTGGTCCTGTCTACAAGGTAAGCCTGTTTTTCTTTGGCATATAGAACTCTGAAAGGAAGTCCTTTTCTTGCAATCAAGTCTACATAGAAAAATTAAATTCTGAATTCTAAGGTTGGGATGCAGGGTCACTTACCTGATGGTTCTTTGATAGCAGTTAAGCAGCTTTCATCCAACTCAAGGCAAGGAAACCGTGAATTTTTAAATGAGATGGGCATGATATCTTGCGTGCAACACCCAAATCTAGTGAAACTGCATGGATGCTGTATTGAAGGGGACCAACTATTGCTGGTGTACGAGTACATGGAAAACAATAGTCTTGCACGCGCCTTATTTGGTACGATTACTTTCATTTGCTCAAACCTGAACTTTTATGACTTCAATAGAATTTGATGAAGTGCAGATCTGAATATACAAGACATATGAAGTTTGATTTGACCGAGCTTACTGGCCATATGAACTCTAACATTTCTGTTAGGGAAGTTCTTAGATCTGATTTTCAGTATTTTCCTCGTACATTGTCCGTGTACTTGAGTTACGTCATTATTATTACTATGTTTCATGCTTATGCTTTCTATGACTATTCAAAAGAGAATTAAAATTGATTTGAGATGAGTAATAAGCATTATTGGCTGATGACATATAGGCCGGGAAAACCCTCGGATTAAACTGGACTGGCCTACGAGGCTTAATATCTGTACTGGGATAGCACGAGGTCTAGCTTTTCTACATGAAGAATCAAGACTCAAGATTGTTCACAGAGACATAAAAGCTACTAACGTGCTCCTGGATGGGGATTTGAACCCTAAAATATCTGACTTTGGATTGGCTAAGCTTGATGAAGAGGAGAAAACACACATTAGCACCAGAGTTGCTGGAACCATGTCAGTTGCCATTACGTTTTAGTTCTACACGTTTACATATCTTCGGGTAAATTTGAGTCTTTTTAATTGGAATAACAAAATTCCGGGATCTTAATTTGCAGAGGATATATGGCGCCAGAATATGCACTATGGGGTCGCTTGACCTATAAGGCAGATGTTTACAGCTTCGGAGTTGTTGTCTTGGAAATCGTTAGCGGGAAGAACAACAGTTATGCCCCAAGTGACAGTTGTGTCTGTCTCCTAGACTGGGTACTATATAGCTTCCAATCATCACTCAAGCCATTGGATAAACATTGCTGTTTTTGTTTTTTTTTCTGACAGGTAGTTTGTGTTAGTTATATATTAAGAAACTTGTTTATAAAGTGAAACTTCTGTTGCAGGCCTGTCATTTGCAACAAACTGGAAACTTGAAGGAGCTGGTTGATGAAAGGTTAGGGTATGAAGTGAATGGTCAAGAAGCAGAAGTAATGGTTAAAGTTGGTCTGTTGTGCACAAATGCGTCTCCATCACTTAGGCCTACAATGTCCGAGGTGGTGAGCATGCTTGAAGGACGAACACCAGTCCCAGACGTTGCGATCCCAGAAGCAAGTACGCATTTGATGTTCAAGGCTATGAGAGATGTCCATGACCAAAGTCAAAAACAGAGTTTAGGCGGAAGCCAGTCCCAGAATGCGACAACTAAGATTACATTTTGCTCTTCCTCTACCCCAGGCCATGATTTGAATTAAATCAACTGCTTGATACGTGTAGGTTGTATTTTTTGTGTATAAAATAGCTTGATCATGAGTTTATTTGGCTATATTTTTATCATATAAATTGTTGAAAGTTCTTTAAAAAAATGCATGCCCAGCTTTTGCTGCTAGAAAATTGCATCTTGGTTGGTCCTTGGGCTCCCATTTGTACCCAAAAAAGTGTGAAGAGAGCGAGAGAGAGAGATAGGCCTATCAGAAGAACGTGTTGACGTGAGTCTCCTAATTAATCAAGGAGATTTACTTCCTTGATTAATTAAGGGATTTACTTTCCTATTTTTTATATAAGTGATAAATCATTCTACAATTAGGAGATACTTTTCTAATTCTTTATTGTATCTAATTCCTTATAAAGTCCACATGCAAACTCTTATATATACCTTCTTATGAAAAAGAATAAATTCAACATAATACATTCAAATTATATTCATATTTTAGCAGAACGTTGTGGGCTTTGCCTAAAACCTGGAAAAACTAAGTCATCATCCTTTCAAGTTTCAACGAAGTTTGGTGTGTGTGACAGTACCAATTGAATTGAAAGTCAAAATATGTACGAAACGAAAGCAAGGAAAGAAAAAAAAAAACATGTATTATTAAAATAAATATAAATAAAAGAATACAACTAATGTTAGAATACTTGAGAATATTTCATCAGCAAAATATAATTGTGGTTTTGCAGCAACAAGAGCTTATTGGACCAGCTAGTAGCTTGTTTACAATGAGAGCATAGATCTTCACATGTGCCCAAAATATACTTCATTAATCATAAATCATTCTTCGCCTGTCTATACTCATCAGACAAATGAATATTTGACATTTTTATTGTCAGAGTTTGGAACGGAAAAAGGAGAGGTGTAATTCGGATTTAAACATGAAACCAATTATATGCATACAAGCACTCTTACTATTGAGCTATGGACCCATTAACATCTATATTATTTGTTAGGTCGAGATTGATTCCACGCAACTTTGGTTTAATAATCTCAAGCTGTGAGCCGCCATCCATTGAATTTGGGTTATAAGCTTTTACCTAGATTAATAAGCAAGTAATCTAATTAACAACGTTGTTTGAATGACGAATAGTCGCTTTTGGCATGCACATGATACTATAAGGATATGTAATTATAACACCAAGTTGCTTGCAATATATATCTTTCATTGCATGGAATCATATTATAATTTATAATTTTCTCAACAACGATCTTAAGTAGCAAATAAAAACCTCTTAATTTTGTCCTCGTTTAATCTAGAATTCAAGAAAACCCTTTGCTAATCAGTAATTGCTAGCGCTTAACATTAAATTATGTTATCCAACCAAAAAAAAACATTAAATTATGTTCGAGAATATCAGGATAAATGTTTTTTTTTAAATTTCAAAATATTAGGATAAATGTATAGATAATTTCTGGAATATTTCGGGGCTAGCCAAACAGTTGCATTACGTGGCTTGACGCGCGTGGAATTAGTACGGTGCCTTACAATGGGGCCCTACTGTCTCGAACAGAGTTTTAATAAATCTGTCTTGTTCTGAAACCAGGAGCCTTTCCTTTCGGCCCGAATATAAATATATATTAATCCAAACAACTTGCTTATTTATTTATCTTATTTTCTCACTACTTTTAGCAGGACACCTTTATTTTTAATTAATTGTGTGTCAAAGCGAAATACATGTTTGGAAAATAAGATGAAGTCGTTATTGACATTTTAAAATACTAATCGTGTAATTTCTTTTCAGGTTTTTTAGGTTTTAGACATAAAAAAATTTTCACTTTTGGAAAAAGCCAAAGTTTTTTCAAAAAAGACAAAAAAATCGCAAGACATGCAAATGTATTGGATTCCTTAGGAAATCTAAAAATAAATAAGGGCATTTTTGTCCATTTTCGCTTCTTTTAAAATTTTTCTCTCTCCTTTTGCTTTTTCCAAACTGTCCCTTTTTTTTCTTTGAGTAAATAAAAATAAAGGAAATAGAAAACAATTCCCTGAAAATAACAGATCATAGAATCATGATGATACGATTTAAATTTGGATTTGCATGGCATGATGATGGTCAATAAATATTTTACTAAAAAATTAAAGAAGAGCAATCAAAATTGAATTATTGGGGGAAAAACAAAAGAAAGTCCAACCTGGGTTGTCCACGCACGCAGCCACAGCCTCAGCCTCAGCCCAGTGGTTTCCAAAGCAGTTCAAACATTGCTTTTACGTGCAGTCACTTGTTGAAATTTTAAAGCATTGCATTCTGTCAAATGTCAACTACATGCATTGCTGACTAGCCCGGCTTCTTCAAAGCTCAAATTGAGAAGCTGTCAGCTAGAATATCATATCATATCAGCGGCTGCACACCACTGTTCCTTCACAAGCCAAGATTTTTGTCCCAAATCTTGAATCTTTATCACCATGGTAGCCAAGAGCAATAGCCTGCTTGTTTTATTGGTCACTGTGCTAAGCTGCAGCTTCAGCTTGGTGAGGTTTGTAGAGTCCAAGGTGCCCCAAGATGAAAGTAAGAGCTAATACCTTACTCTATTGCTTAGAACTTCAATTGGGTTGCTGAAAGTTTGAATCTTGAGATGTTGTTGCACTCTGTATCAGCACAAATGTTTGCATACTACGCACAGGAACACACTTAATTTTTGTTCTTTTGTAATCAGAATCAGCCATTTTTGTTTATTTTCTTCTTAGATTTTCTCAGTGAACAAATGGGTAATTGGCCCTCTCTTCTCTTAACTAACTGCTTTTGAGTTCTTGACTTACGCATTAAGTTCTGGTATTTTGCGACTGGTTCCAATAAGTCTCCTTTAGAGGTATCTGAATGTTAATTGGAGTGTAGCCACCGAATTTTGACAAGGTCGTTGGTTTTTCAAGGGATTTCTCTTACCTTGAGCATTCAGTTTTTCAGTTTTTTGCATGGTCAGTTTAATTTCCTTTTATGTGATGTTCAAATGTCAATTAGAACCAGTTTAATTTCCTTTTATTGTGATGGTCGGTTTAATTTCCCTCTTCTGGTTTCCAAATACAACCAAACGTTACTTTTTGAAAGAGGAGCCACTTGATAATTAAATTATTTGCCATTCTCTGTATATAACAAGTTGATTATTTCCTTGAATCCATATGCTGATTATGTGATGGTTTTTTCATGATGGATAGTTGATGCTCTCCAAGAAATAACTAGTACGATGGGTGCAAAGTTTTGGAAGTTTAATGGTGATTCTTGCAAAATTGAAATGGTTGGGGTAACAGCAGATCCGCCAAAAGGATCTGAGACTGGCATTAGTTGTGACTGCAACAGCACTGTCTGTCACGTCGTAACATTGTACGGTTCCCTCATCTTATTTGTAAATAATTTTGTACATGATTATGTGCATCTTTTTGAATGACAAGGGTTGTCATTTGTTTTTATATTTATTTAGCAGGAAAAAAGAAAATAAAATAAAAGAAGAGAGGGTCTGATATCTATATATTTAGGATAAACTATACTAACCTCACCTGGGGTTAGGTGAAGTACAAGAATCCTCCTTGCATTGCTAGAACTTACTTCGACCGTCCTTGTCTAATAGGTGCTAGAAGAAGTTTTGATATCAGAGGATGGGGTAGGTGCCAAAGATGGTTGGGCTTTGGAGGTAGATGTTCTCAGTTTTGCACCTAATGTTAAAATTGCGGACGGTTATCTTGATGTTCTTCACCTTAATCTCCAGGAGGTTAGTGTAGTTTGCCCCAGATTATTATTTCTGTAGGAAGGTTTTTTCACAGAGAGAGCATAACTCTAATTCTTAACCCAATAGTTCTAATTGAAGATCCACTAATCATTAATTTCCAAGCAACCTCTCTTATGATTATTCTGTTTTCTTACAACATTACTCTCTGCTTAGCACTCGAATTTATAATTTTTGATCTGACAGAGCTCTCAAGGGTTATAATCTACCTGGCATGCTTCCACCTCAACTGGTCAAACTTCCTTACCTTAAAGAAATGTAAGATCATTTTGTATTCAAGAATAATGACTGATGATTTTGTTCTATAAAATTTATTTATACTGAAATGCACTTTACATTTTTTATCCTTCCTCTTTGTGTAGTGATTTGTCTCTCAATTATCTTAATGGTACAATACCAGGAGAATGGGGTGCAATGCAATTAAAAAACATGTGAGTTCTTCTCAGCTTTTGTGATTATCTTGTTGATTTCGTAGTTCGTGTTGTAAATTAATTAGAAAATCTATGCAGCTCTCTTCTTGTAAATCGCTTATCAGGGGAGATTCCAAAGGAGTTGGGAAATATTACTACGCTCACATACCTGTAAGTGTTAAAATTATGGTTTGTCTTGGCAATTTATCAGTTGGGTCATGGAATTATGGTATGATTGAGGAAATATGTGAAACAAGATTGGCAGGGTCTTTTCCCTTCTCCTTGGATCGCATTCTGCTACTGCTTAACAAGCTTGAAAACTTTTTTATATTTGCATCCGTTGGGGGCGATCAGTTTTTTCACTCCTCCACTGTGATTCTGTCATTCTCTCTTTCTAATCTCAATATTATTTCCTTTTTCTTTTTCAAACACTCAGGACTCTTGAAGCAAATCAGTTCTCTGGAGTTGTTCCTCCTGAGCTTGGGAATTTAATCAACTTGGGAACTCTGTAATGCAATTTTCTTTCGGGAAATTTTGATTCTTGATTTTTCTTTACACTGTAAACACATTTGGGAATGATGAATGATAGGTGAAAGTTGATGGCTCATTGCTTTGGTATTGGAATCGCAGGATGTTGTCCTCCAATCGTTTGACCGGAAAGTTACCAGTGGCATTGGCTAGGCTAAGAAATTTAACAGACTTGTAAGTTTTTACTGTACTTGTTTTATTTTATTTTATTTTATTTTATTGTATTGCATAAGACAAGTTTACATGTCAAATTGATTCCATACTCTTGTCACATGCAGTAGAATAAATGATAATAACTTCAATGGAACGATACCTGATTTCATACAGAACTGGGAAAAACTTGAAAGATTGTAAGATATATTTTTTCTTTTGACGAAATTTTGACCTACATTTCAAGTTATTATAGATGAAACAAATTATTTCATTCTTATTTATTTCTAATTTTTATTATTATTTTTTCTTATATATGTATATTTGGATGGTTGAAGAGAAATGCATGCAAGTGGGCTTCAGGGACCCATCCCCTCCAACATATCTGTTTTGAGTAATTTAAAAGAGTTGTGAGTAAAAGGCCTTTTCAAGTTTTCTTTGTAGCTGTATGTATTTATTACTTGATTTCTTTTTTTTTTTTTTTTTTTTTTCATTTTGTGGTTCCATATCTATATATAGGAGGATTAGCGATATAGAGGGGCCACAGCAGGGTTTTCCTACGTTGACAAACATGACAAGCCTAGTGAGATTGTACGTTGAGTATTTGATCATCAAATATTCTGAAGGCATTATTATTTATATTTTACTTTTGATGGTGGTTTGTCTAATGCTATTCAGTTATGTATTTTAGGGTTCTCAGAAACTGCAACATTTCTGGAGAGATTCCTCCATACATGTGGACGATACAAAACCTGGAAATGTTGTAAGTAAACCTTGTGAAGTAGGATACTGGTTGTATTGTTGTATTATGACTGTGAATGCAGGTTGATTATATCTTTTGTATTGTGATAGGGATGTCAGTTTTAACAAGTTAGTAGGGGAAGTTCCAGACACTATAAACTTAGAGCGTTTGAGATTCCTGTAAGTACAACCTTGTGATTCATTTAATTATGGCGCATTCAGATTTGAAGTATGGTAATTTACTTATGCCTTAAACTACAAAGGTCCATTGCTTGTGATTCTTCTTCCCTAAAAGTTTCTGGGAAATGCTGGACATATTACTGGATAAAGAAGGGACTAAATTTCTGTGACACAAACATGGGCATGCGAATGCCTACATAATTTAAGATTTTTTAATTATATTGGGATAGAAATGCAAGCTTATATCTTTAAGTTGGTGTGTGCTTAATTTCAACCCCCCTCTTTCTTTATAATAATCTAGTATTGAATATTGATGTAGCATTCTGAAAAATCTTATATTTCTTTCTATAGGTTTTTAACTGGAAACTCTCTGAGTGGAAGTGTACCTGCCTCAATCTTCAAGGATGGAAGTAATGTGTATGTGTAATTCTTATCTTCGATGCTTCATATTATTTATTTTTTTCTTTTGATAATTGCAATTTACCTTTTCCTTGTATGCTTCCCATGTGTATCCAAGATCTGTCTCATGTATATATTATTACTAAAAATGGAATTCTGGAAGCAAACAATTTGAGGATCAATACAATGGACACACACCATTTCTGGCTTATGTTTGTTTCTCCCTAAAGAGAGTGACCTTTCCTGCATGCAGTGATCTTTCATACAATAACTTTACATGGCAAGGCCCTGAGCAACGTACTTGTCAGGACAACATGTGAGAATACTGTTCTAGTAGTTATTCATGTATTATGCCGGTTTTATATGGATACAAACTAATGGTTGTTTCACCTTTTTCCTTTTTTAATAGCAATCTAAACCTGAACTTGTTTCGAAGCTCTTCAACAGAGAACAACTTGTAAGATTGTCTTTCTCTGTCTTGCTTTCTTTTTGTTGCATTACAGTGAGAAAAGATATTCATATATACACATGGCATACATTCCATGTTAATATATGTTTTTCACTCAATTATGACAGAAGGAGAGGTCTTCCATGCTTGAAGGATCTCAACTGCCCACGCTGTAAGGATATATTCTAATTGGCTTAAATAATATGCAATGCTATACAGTTTATTTAAGTTTCAGTACATGTATTGGAATTTATACTTCTACTTGAAATTGTGTAATCTCCTTTATTTTATTTTATTTATAGAAGATGCATGTTTCAGTTAGTTTGATCATGAAGCAATATCAGCTTGTTGCAGAAGAAAATTGTAAATGATAAAGATTGCTATACCCAAAAAAGTAAATTCTTCTGATTTTAAAGTCTTTGTTTCAGAGAACGAATAAAATGAAAAAGAATTTGAGTGAAGTTTGAAACTCGCTCTACCCAAAAATGTTCAGAGAGAATACCATGATGTTCAAAAGTTTTATATCTGAATACTCTTGTCAATTAGTAATTGTTGCTTTCATATTCTCTCACTTATATTTTTATTTTAATCCATTATTCCAGATTCAACTTGTTTACATGTTAATTGTGGTGGAAATGACGTCACCATCAAAGAAAATAAAAGAAACTTTGTGTATGAAGGAGACGGAGGAGTTGAAGGTGGCGCTGCAGAGTATTTCTTAAATGGTGATTATTTTTGGGGATTTAGTAGCACTGGAGACTTCATGGATGACAATGATTTCCAAAATACACGTTACTCTGTATCTCTGGCATCTTCAAATCTCTCTGATTTATACACGACAGCACGCGTATCCCCAATTTCAATCACATATTTCCATTATTGCTTAGAAAATGGTGACTATACTGTAAGTCTTCACTTTGCGGAGATACAGTTTACAAATGACCAAACATATACGAGTCTTGGCAGACGCATATTTGATATCTATGTTCAGGTAATTAGTCACTTTGTTAAAAATATATATTATGAAGTTGCAAATAGGTGTAATGTGAAGTGCTTTGTCTCAGGAAGAAGTATTGCGAAAGGATTTCAATATTGAAGATGAGGCAAAGATGGCTCAAAAGCCTGTAATACTAGAACATAATGTCAGTGTAACAAATAATATCTTAGAGATCCGATTCTATTTTGCTGGTAAAGGGACAACAAGAATCCCTGAAAGAGGAGTCTACGGTCCCCTTATCTCTGCTATTTCTGTGAAATCTGGTGAGTTATTTGGATGCGATCTTCTTCTTTACCTTATTGTAAAACACTCATAATAAGGTATGCTTGGGATAAAGCATGGATCACAATTTTTTCTGTTTTCAACATCTGTTTCTCAGCCCGGGCCATACTTGGTTTGGCTCAGACAGAGTTTTGAGGCCTAACATTAGACACAACATGGGAACCTAGTTCAGGAAACAGGCTAGTTTAGGAACTGGTGGTATGATGATGGTACCCATGTATGCATCTGCTGCTTTTTCTTTTCTTTAATGCTAATTAGGATATTTTGTTTTTGTACCGACATAGAGTCTGAATTTAGTGGTAGTTTGTGCTAAAGTTTTAATTCTGTAACTTATCTGCGGGAAGAGCAAAGCTATTTTATGTGCGTTCCTATGAATGGAATGGATTTAATGTATGTAAAAAATGACTTTGCTTTTAATCCTGATATGAAGGGTTTCTAATAAAGGCTCAAATGCACACTTCCCAACCTCTTTTACAATTTTGTTAATCTAATTTGGTAAATTTACGTTCACTTCTGCCTTTGAAAACAACGTGTTCCTGGACAAGAGTTTCTTGTCCTTTTTTCCTTTTATGTTGTTCCAGTTAGTTAATTGATTTCTTCTTTTGAGCAGATTCCAAAGATTGCTCAAATGGTGAAGGCAAGGGAACTGCTCACATTGTTGCTGGAGCTGTAGTAGGAGCATTTGGCCTAGTGTTTGTTATATTAGGAATCCTTTGGTGGAAAGGATACATGCCAGGCAAAAGGGGGAGAAAGAAAGGTGCTTCATCATATCGAAATGTATCATTCTCAGATTCATTGGTTCCTACTGATAGTTTTCACAAGTATATGAAATGAAGGAATAAAAACTAACAATTGCACTCTTTGATTGCTCAAGCAATGATGAATAACACTCATACTCTTCTGATGCCTCCTTGGACAGATAGAGAAGGACTTGATGGGCAGACAGGGACTTTTACCTTAAAACAATTAAAAGCTGCCACTAATGACTTCGATTCTGCTAACAAAATCGGAGAAGGTGGTTTTGGTCCTGTGTACAAGGTACTATAGCTATCTGTACGTTGAATCTTTTCCATGTTTTTTTTAAAGATTTCCCTGTTTTACGTTTACATACATGCTTCTGAACATGGGTTGGGATGCAGGGTCAATTGCCTGATGGTACAGTGATAGCCGTTAAGCAGCTTTCATCTAAGTCAAGGCAGGGAAATCGTGAATTCTTAAATGAGATGGGCATGATTTCTTGTTTCCAGCACCCAAATCTTGTGAAGCTTCATGGATGTTGTATTGATGGAGGTCAGCTATTGCTGGTCTATGAGTACATGGAAAACAATAACCTTGCACGAGCATTGTTTGGTGAGTATGATGTCAATTACTCAATTGTATAAGTGCGGAAACCAATTAAGATGTAACTGATCATGTTCTAAAGTGTATAAGTTGGTTTTTATCCTTTTCTTTATATATCCTTGGATGGGTTATGCTGATTTCTAGGTTTCTTCTTGCATACTTTGAGTACTACTGGCATTCCATTTTGTTTTCGAATTTCTTTCACACAATTTATTTATAGTTGAAAAGAAAGTCTGAGCGAGCAGTATTTTCTTTGACAAACTTTTGTAGGTCGAGAAAATCATCTTAAACTGGACTGGCCAACAAGGCGTAATATTTGTATTGGGATAGCAAGAGGACTAGCTTTTCTCCATGAAGAATCTGTACTTAAAATTGTTCACCGAGACATCAAAGCTACTAATGTGCTGCTTGATCGGGACTTGAACCCTAAAATATCCGACTTTGGATTAGCAAAGCTTGATGAAGAGGAGAAGACGCACATGAGCACCCGAGTTGCTGGGACCATGTCAGTTTCCACTTTACATGTCCTTGTTTACACTGGCTTGTTGATATACTTGCAGCAAAGACTAGCTAAATTGGTGATTTTTTTTTTTGGGTTGAATAACAAGATTTTGGGATATTGATTTGCAGAGGATACATGGCACCAGAATATGCATTATGGGGTCACCTGACGTACAAAGCAGATGTTTACAGTTTTGGAGTAGTGGCCTTGGAAATTCTTAGTGGGAAGAACAACAATAATTATATCCCAAGTGATGACTGGGTTTGCCTTTTAGATTGGGTACTCTTACCATTCGCTCTAGCTCTTTGATCCATTTTTACATCCATCTTGTCACATCTGGTTGTTCTCATTGTTACTAATTCAGTGAGAAACTACAATAAACATTTGCAGGCTTGTCATTTGCAACAAACCGGAAACTTGTTGGAGCTAGTTGATGAGAAGTTAGGGTCCGAGGTCGACCAAAAAGAAGCAGAGATCATGGTTAAAGTGGCTCTGATTTGTACAAATGCCTCTGCATCACTTAGGCCTAGCATGTCCGAGGTGGTGAGCATGCTTGAAGGACAAACCTCTGTTCCTGACGTGATCCCAGAACCAAGTACCTATAGAGAAGATTTGAGGTTTAAGGCCATGAGAGACCTCCACCGGCAGAGGCAAGATCATAGTTTAAGTATCAGTGGAACACAGCATTCAACTACGGTCCACACATTCGAGTCTACCTCTACGTCCGGCCTTGAATTCTCTGAAATCAATCCAGACTCAACACCCTCTTGACAGTTGTGGACATTCTGGTTCTATAGTAGCAAGTATATTGTAGTTTGTAGTCTTCGGAAACGCATATACAGATTAGCTGTGTCCATTTTTTCTCTTCTGTGCATATTTTGTTCAATTTTCTGTTAGCTTTATTCGTTCCATGTTTGTCTCTGCAAACAACAATAATAACAATGTCAAATATTATTCAATTGAAGATTCAATTTAATTCGTTCACTCGTTTTCCTCACCAAAGACTGAATAATTTCTGCTGTAAATTTCTACAAATTAATAGAAACGTTGAGACTAAATTTCTACAAATTTATTTCAGCCGCCGACAATATATTACATAAAGTAATAGACCAAGCTTCTTTCTTTTTTTTACTAACATTAAAAACGTTGCGTCTGGAAATGTAGAGCTTTTTTTGCGGACAGAAATGTAGAGCTGTCGGTGCATTAACTGCATTAACCCTGTGAATTAATTATACGTAATATTGTCGGGTCTTTATACAATTGACCACTCATTATTGTCCTGGTGATTTTTCGAAAGATAAGGTTTGTCATGCAGAACACAATTGACCACTCATTATTGTCCTGGTGATTTTTCGAAAGATAAGGTTTGTCATGCAGAACGGTGCATTTAACTGTTTTTTTTTAAAGAGTAATGCTACACTTACTACATTTTTATCTTACATTTCTATACCATATGATGTGGCATGTTCATATTATATGCCACATCAATTAAATCAATGAAGTGTGTTTTAATTAAGACAATTAGAAAAACAAATACTGGAATAAATCATAAAATAAAATAAAATATTAAATAATTTTAATTGATGTGGCTGTCCACCTCAGCTGCCACATAAAATGGTATAAGAATGTGGTATACAAAATGTGGTAAGAGTAATATTATTCTTTTTTTAATGTGGATAGCATTGTTATCTCCAATCAATAATGCAATTATGCAACTAGTTGCTAGTTGACTCGTGCCATCACAAGTCTTCTTGATTAATAAGTCTATTCTATAAGGGGTCCCTTCATTAATACGAACTGACCTGAGGATGAGACATTGAATATTCTAGTCAAGGGTGATGTGGATGCAGCAAGCGAGATTGAAGCCTTTTACATCAGGCGTTAATACCAATATCGACTTTAAAGTCTTAGGCCCCGTTTGGTGAACTGGCTTGGATTGGTTAGGATAAGCTTCGAAGTATTAGATTTGGTTGGCTTGGATTGGACTGGCTGTTTGGTTAAAGGTTAGGAGCTTGAGAAAAATTGCATTTTTATGTTTGGTCTATCTATGTGGTGCTTGTGGGAATGCAATTCTGCACTTATGTTTGGTCTATCTAGTTGTTTGTCTCTTGACTTTATTTGAGAATTTTTCCCCACACAGCATGGAATGCAACATTTTAGGACTAACTTAACTGTTATAATAAAAACTAAAAAAAAAAAAATAATTAAATAATCTAATACCAATACTACTTTGACCTATAGAAAAACTTTTTGTATTTTTTTTTTTAACCTACTATTTTCACTGTCTCAAACGGTTATTTTTCGTTGGCGATCTTAGTCATAGTTGCTATGACTTCGTGTTTTTTTGTTGTTGCTTTTTTATCCGTAACCAAGAGGATCCTCATGGCTTGGAAGTAGACAAATAAAATGCAATAGTGTTGGCTCCATTGAAGAGATGCAAAGTAACGACACTCAAAATGTTTACTTACAAATGGATCTTCATATGGAGGTAAGGAGAACTCCAATTAAGAACTGAAAATAATCAAGCATACACTACCATCTATTTTGGCAACCTCTTCCATGAGGTTACTCAAGCTTAATGATTAGGAATAGTTTCTTTTTTTGGCAACTGCTAAATGATTAAGAATAAATTTTAATTAAAAAAATGAAAGGGGTGTATTCAATTATAATTTTAATAGATTGTTTTGAAACTTAAAAGTCCAGTAGTATTCAATTAGGATTTTTAAGTAATGAATTAAAGCCCAGTGGTATTCAATTAGGAATCTTAAATAATGAATTAAAATCTGGTGGTATTCAATTACTTAACAAGTTTGAGGTATTTCATTAAATGTTGTATTGTATGAGACTTTTGAGTGGATGATATAAATACCTAACCCCATAAAAAAATCTCACCCTCCTAGTCATGATTCTCACGTTCTTTGATTTTCTGTTGGGAGAAGATGAACATACACATTTGAGAAGGTTATTGATATCTTCTCTTTTCGTGCTTTCTGGATAGAATCTTTTATCATGGATGTCATGCTCGTTTATACGTTTTCATCAAAGTTTTGCATACGTTTACTGAAATTACTTGTAGGATGACTAAAAATGTTTAAAGGGGAGTGAATAGGTCAATTTAAAATTATAATCAATAAACAAAAAATAAACTTTGGTAGCAGGATTGATATGGCTTATCAATCATGAAACGTGCTGAGCATAAAATAAAAGAACACGCAGAAAATTATTTTACATTGTAAAACCCCACCTATGGGGAAAATCCATGGGACTCCTCAGTCCAAAATAAATCAACTATAGAACGATGATTACAAGAAGTACTCACACAATTATCCTAAACACATTCTAGATAATGTTTACCGACTTCTTCGTAACTCAACTTCTATTACGAGATGATCTTTCCACACTCTTTATGTTGAATGCAATACTGGTCAAGATTGCTTCAAGCTCGCCGGAGGAAAACTGCCACCACGGTTTTGGTGCCCTTAATCGTATGAGTCACAGAACATGCAAATGAATGCAATATGAATGATGAAAGTGTTTGATAAATCACCATGTAAACATGGAACACTTGATGAATTATCACAACTATATACACATCAGCTTTTCTAGAGAAATTTAGATGATCAATCAAAACATGTAAAAGCTGTACAAACAAGGAGATGCACACCTTTGCTTTATATGTTATCTTGCAATAGAAAATTCATAAAGCACAATATCTTGCCTAATCAGATTTGATTCTATAAAAGTCCTATTCCATATCGTCATCTTATTCACTCTTCAAGATTAACTTCCAATCCACATTGGAGTCAATCATTCAAGCCCAACACGTGGGCACTACGTATTAGGTAAAGGGTAAGGGTAAACATTCAAGCCCAACATGTGAACACCACATATTGGGTAAGGGCAACCGACCTGCTCTGATACCATGTTAAATTCAGAGAGACGGGCTGGCGTCCCACTACTAACAACATTGATATTGTCCCCAACTTAACCACATACAAAGCCCAGTAAGTGTTGGGTTTTATCACAAAAAGTCTCGGTATTATTAGTAGTAGAACCATTCATTATATTTTATATTTTATTTTATTTTTAGAATTAAGAAAAGATAAGTAGTTATGTTCTATAAAAGTATGACCTATTATCTGATTTTTTTTTTAATTTTAATTTTTTTAATATGAAAAAAATGTGAATTTACCATATTTATCCTCATTTAATTAATAATTTCAATTCTTAATATTTGAATTAACCAATGGCATTTTCAGGTATTTTGAATGTTTCACCATTCTCTACCTTTTGCTTTATATACATGGATTCACTAGGGACTTTTATTAGAGTCCCATCATTATTTTGCTACTTGGATTCTACAAATTATTCTACAAGGAAATTTTACCATTGAATAGAGAATTGACTATCCTTGAGTACTACTTGCGTTTCGTTTTGTTTTGGAATTTCTTTCACAAAATTTATTTATAGTTGAAAACAAAGTCTGAGCGAGCAGTATTTTCTTTGACAAACTTTTGTAGGTCGAGAAAATCATCTTAAACTGGATTGGCCAACAAGGTGTAAGGCCATCTCCAGCCAGGGGACATAAGTCAGATATAGCCCTAAAATAATGCAAAAGCCATCTTCAGTCAAGGGCTAAAAAAAAATTTGGCTTGACCCTCCAATTAAGCCAAATGTAGCCCAGCTTTGGCCAATGCCAAATTTTTTTGTGAGCGTAGCACATGTGCTTTTCAAGAGGAGAAAGTATCACGTGTAGGTAAGAGCACGAAACATGACGTGCAACTGTAAATCCAACAACCAATATTAAAGGTGCGTTGACATCATCGATGACGTCAGCTAGCCGTTAGGTTTTTATTTTTATTTTTAATAACCTTTTTAAATTCGTTTTGTTTTAATATATATATATATATAATTGGTTTTTGATCGTTGGAGGTCAGAACCATTGATTGAAAAGTGACAGGACCCGCCCCGAATTTCCCGTAACCCGAGACGAACCTTGTGGAATTCCCGACATCACCCCGATGTCTGGCCCACTTATGCAAACTATAACCTCTTTCTCTTAAAAGAGTAAGGGTACGAGACTTTCTTCCGAAAATTCGGCAGAATCTCCTCTGTAAATTGAACATTCCCCAAATGTTCAACCTGCATAAAATTCACATATGATATAATCCAACCGGCAACATGCACAATATAACAACATGCAATTCACATAAATGGCCTCTGGCCTTCTGATAATCCAAAGCAAACTACCAACCACGCAATCAACATAAAATAACTTCCCCAAGCATCCAACACGCGAGGTTTTAGCCTCCTATCACTATCACAAATAGTTTGGGGCCTCAGCCTAAACTGTGCAACAATCCGACAAGGACTTCAAACCTAACTAAATCTAATCCACTCACTTAGTCTACCGAACAAGCCTCAATTCAACCAAGTTCCCGGACCAACAACGAGGTCCGAACAAATCTCAATATACGAGGCTAAAGTTTAGCCCGTGGCTGCACCTAGTAACTTCAGGCTGCCTACGTACCCTTACTGAGGGATCAAGCCACAAGTAGTTCTTTCCCTAAATCACCACTCAACAATACTCGCAAAATCTCCCCATACGCCGGAACATCCAAAGTCATGTATGGGGCATGTTCGCATGCCGGATAAACCTACGACACGTGGGACCTCATCATCATATCACAATAACCCCCCATATGCCGGTACTACTACCAACGCCACATATGGGGTCTGTCAACACGCCGGCTACTCCTACGACACGTGCGACCTCAACACAATCACATATCACCCCTCATACGTCGGGACGCACCCGGCCACGTATGGGGTCTGTCATCACGCCGGCTACTCCTACGACATGTGCGACCTCAACACAATATCACATATCACCCCTCATACGTCGAGACGCACCCGGCCACGTATGGGGTCTGTCAACAAGCCATCTACTCCTACGACACGTGCGACCTCAACATAATCACATATCACCCCTCATACATCGAGATGCACCCGGCCACGTATGGGGTCTGTCAACACGCCGGGTACTCCTACGACACGTGTGACCTCAACACAATATCACATATCACCCCTCATACGTCGGGACGCACCCGGCCACGTATGAGGTCTGTCAACACGCCGGCTACTCCTACGACATGTGCGACCTCAACACAATATCACATATCACCCCTCATATGTCGGGACGCACCCGGCCACGTATGGGGTCTGTCAACACGCCGGCTACTCCTACGACACGTGCGACCTCAACACAATCACATATCACCCTTCATACGTCGGGACGCACCCGGCCACGTATGAGGTCTGTCAACATGCCGGCTACTCCTACGACACGTGCGACCTCAACACAATATCACATATCATCCCTCATACGTCGGGACACACCCGGCCACGTATGGGGTCTGTCAACACGCCGGCTACTCCTACGACACGTGCGACCTCAACACAATATCACATATCACCCCTCATACGTCGGGACGCACCCGGCCACGTATGGGGTCTGTCAACACGTCGGCTACTCCTACGACAAGTGAGACCTCAACACAATATCACATATCACCCCTCATACGTCGGGACGCACCCGGCCACGTATGGGGTCTGTCAACACGTCGGCTACTCCTACGACAAGTGAGACCTCAACACAATATCACATATCACCCTTCATACGTCGGGACGTACCCGGCCACGTATGGGGTCTGTCAACACGCCGGCTACTCCTACGACACGTGTGACCTCACAAGCATATCACATACCTCCCCTTATACGTCGGGACGCACCTAGCCACGTATGGGGTCTGTCAACATGCCGGCTACTTCTACGACACGTGCGACCTCACAAACATATCACATACCTCCCCTCATACGTAGGGACGCACCCGGCTATGTATGGGGTCTATCAACACGCCGGCTACTCCTACGACACGTGCGACCTCACAAGCTTATCACATACCTCCCCTCATACGTCGGGACGCACCCGGCTATGTATGGGGTCTGTCAACACGCCGGTTACTCCTACGACACGTGCGACCTCACAAGCATATCACATATCTCCTCTCATACGTCGGGACGCGCCTGGCCACGTATGAGGTCTGTCAACACGCCGGCTACTCCTACGACACGTGCGACCTCACAAGCATATCACATATCTCTCCTCATACGTCCTCATACGTCGGGACGCACCCGGCCACGTATGAGGTCTATCAACACGCCGGCTCCCCTCATACGTCGGGATGCGCCTGGCCACGTATGAGGTCTGTCAACACGCCGGCTACTCCTACGACACGTGCGACCTCACAAGCATATCACATATCTCCCCTCATACGTCGGGACGCACCCGGCCACGTATGGGGTCTGTCAACACGCCGGCTACTCCTACGACACGTGGGACCTCACACAATAACATGACGATGCTTGCACAGGATAGTCAATATCCGGGGAGGTACATAGGGTAGTGTGTATAACACTTCAAACTTACAATCTAAACTCTTTCTATTCTTTGATATATCCAAAAAAAAAAAAAAATATATATATATATTCTAATCTTACATAAACTTCAACCAATATAGCATCCAATAAACTCCCCCATTTGAACTCATCAATTAATATCCTAAACCCACAATATCCACATAACTCGACTAACGGTCAAGACCTGTCTCTACGGTCATTTCAATCTTCCTAGGAAGGTAATACTACCTAGGAAGTCTCACGGTCAACCCAGGGTCAAACTACCCAACCTTGGTCAAACGGGCTCGCGGGGCCCACGACCTCCAAATTCCGATCCGACGATTTCTTTGAGTTCTACAAGGCTTAGGATACACGTCCTGTAAGTTTGGTCCAGATCGGACAGTCGAATCGCTCACGATCGTACGATTGGACGGTTACTAAAACCCTAGCCTTAGGGTTGGCATTTTCGGAGTATCCGGGACTCTGTTTTACAATCCGTCGAATCCTACACGATCCAAAGGATGTCTAGATTAACATATTATAAACTCAGGACCATCCAACGGTCCAAACCTAGCGAACCCGGATAATGCGCAATATGCGATATCTGTTCGGGACTCTAACGGTAACCAAATTGAGGTCCGAGCACACCTACGCGCTTGTGACATCGAGAGGATCTCATTGGGACAAAAATGCCCCTCAGCCACAATGCCCACGCGCCGCCACACGCGCCGGCAGGGCGTGGGTGTCCAAAGCGATTACCCTTCTCCGAAAAATCTCCAAATCTCGGCTCAAGACTCCTACCCTAGGTAAAACACCTTATTTGGAGTCACTTTTGTTCTTGGGCATACCCCAAAAACTGACCGGAAGTGGTCGGAATCGCTAACTCAAAACTGGCCGAACCCTAACTCAAAAATCAGATAATCTAGGCTCAAAATTAACGAAAACCTACCCATCCATCAGCTATATCATGAGGAAAGGATAGATTTCCATACTCGGATCGCCAAAAATGGAGGCCGGACGACGAAGAACGAAGCTGGCGAAGTTTCGGGCAAAACCGAGCTTTTCTCTTCGATTTTCCTGCGAAATCTCGACGGCTGGCGGCGGGACCTGGCTGGGGTAGGAAGAGGATGGCGGCCCGGTCATTTTGGTACTGGCCCCGTCGAATTTGGTGGTCGGACGAGAGCACGGCCGGCCAAAACGTGGCCCGCTGTTTCAGCCGTCGTGAACCAGAGGAGAGAGAGACGCGCGGGAGGAGAGAGAGAGAGAGAACTGAGGGCAAATCTGTCTTTTAACAAAAACCCTTTTCGAAATATTTACGGTTGTGCCACTGAGGGTATTTGGATCGTATCTCTCTTGTTACAGCTCCGATTCAAGCCCGCTACGCATCTACGGACTCATCTCGCCGCGCTCTACGCAACGGTACAGCCGGAATTCCCAAATTCCTTTCGGATAAGAAATGACCAAATTACCCCTATCCCCATGGTAAATTCGTAATTTCACTCAATTTAATTACAACATGGGATCAATTTGGAGTCGGGGTGTTACAAAAAGTTATTATTTATTTAAAACCTTTTAAAATGTTTTAAATTCATTTTGTTTAAAAAAATATTGTCTCTAATCGTAGTTTAATTAAATTAAACAATACATAGTTGTGGAACATTTGAGTGTTGTACCATAGTTTTTCTCAAAATAATAAAATACGAAGAGCCTTAAAATACAGCCATGCATCGCTGAAGATGGAAAAATTTAGTCATGCACTATTCTTTAAAAAAATTAATATTTTGGAGGGCTAAATTTTAGCCCTGGATTACATTTAGTCCTATGACCGAAGATGGCCTAATATTTGTATTGGGATAGCAAGAGGACTAGCTTTTCTCCATGAAGAATCTGTACTTAAAATGGTTCACCGAGACATCAAAGCTACTAATGTGCTGCTTGATCGGGACTTGAACCCTAAAATATCCGACTTTGGATTAGCAAAGCTTGATGAAGAGGAGAAGACGCAAATGAGCACCCGAGTTGCTGGGACCATATCAGTTTCCACTTTCCATGTCCTTGTTTACACTGGCTTGTTGATATACTTGCAACAAAGTCTAGCTAAATTGGTGATCTATTTTTTTGGTTTGAATAAAAGATTTTGGGATCTTGATTTGCAGAGGATACATGGCACCAAAATATGCATTATGGGGTCACCTGACGTACAAAGCAGATGTTTACAGTTTTGGAGTAGTGGCCTTGGAAATTATTAGTGGGAAGAACAACAATAATTATATCCCAAGTGATGACTGGGTTTGCCTTTTAGATTGGGTACTCTTACCATTCTCTAGCTCTTTGAACCGTTTTTACATCCATCTTGTCACATCTGGTTGTTCTCACTGTTACTAATTCAGTGAGAAACTACAATAAACATTTGCAGGCTTGTTATTTGCAACAAACTCGAAACTTGTCGGAGCTAGTTGATGAGAAGTTAGGGACTACGTTCCTTATCTTTTTTATTTTATTTATTTTAATATTCAAGGTATTTTATTATTTGGGTTATTTTTGGGTGAGTTTATTTATTATTTGGGTTGGTGTTATTATTTTGATGAAATTTATGGCTTACATAATACATATATGAGCTTGATTTATTGAATGATGTTTTTGTTAGTTGGAATAAGTTTGGTGTGTTTTTAAATTATTATTTTTTTGCATTGTTTCATTTTAAAAAGAAAATCGGAACTTTAACATTATAACCCCATAGGGTAACAATCCTGGATCCGTCACTGTCAACACCCTCTTTGCAGTCGTGGACATTCTGGTTCTATAGTAGCACGTATGTTGTTTGTATTCTTCGGAAACGCATACGCAGATTAGCTGTGTCCATATTTTCTTTTCTGTACATATTTTGTTCAATTTTCTATTAGCTTTGTTCGTTCCATGTTTGTCTCTGCAAACAACAATAATAACAATATCAATATTATTCAATTGAAGATTCAATTTAATTAGTTGACTCTTTTTCCTCACCAAAGACTGAATAATTTCTGCTGTAAATTTATACAAATTAATAGAAACGTGACCGAGCTTCTTTCTCTTTTTCACTAACATAAAAAACGTTGCGTCTGGAAATGTAGAGCTTTTTTTGCGTCTGGATGTAGAGCTTTTTTTTGTAGACAGAAATGTAGAGCTGAGAGCTGTCGGTGCATTAACTGCACTAACCCTATGAATTAATTAGCGGAATATTGTCGGGCCTTTATACAATTGACCACTCATTATTTTCCTGGTGATATGTGGATAGCATTCCTATCTCTAATCAATAATGCAATTATGCAGCTAGTTGCTAGTTGATTCGTGCCATCACAAGTCTTCTTGATTAATAAGTCTATTCTATACGAACTGACCTGAGAATGAGACATTGAATATTCTAGTAGGTGTGGGGTTTTATCACTTACAAAGCCCAGCAGGTGTGAGATTTTATCACAAAAAGCCTCGGTATTATTAGTAGTAAAATAATTCATTATATTTTGTATTTTATTTAGTCAAGTTTCCGATATAAGACTCATATTCTTCAACATAATAATGGGATGCATTATGCGAGGGCAATCTCACTGAAGGGTCAGGTACTCGCCTATAAATAGGTAATGGTTTGTGTGCATTGTACAAGCCCGAGTAATAAAGAAGAGTGCGGATGAGATAAAGCGAGAGAGAAATTCTGAGAGAGTTTTCTTACCATTGTAGTGTATCAAGGATAAATGGCAAGAGGATTTAATTGTATTGCTCCAAAAAACATCATGAACCTTATTATGCTCATTTTGGTTCTCTGCTTATGCACCAAATCAATCGAAGTTGAAGCACGAGCTTCGCGTTTGCCTGCTGCAGAAGGTAACTTACTAATCTTCTTGTTTAAGTTTGTATATATTGGTAATACTAATATCCATGCATTCACTCAAGCCTCACTTCAATCAAGTTTTAGCGGCAGTATGCCACTGTTTTTATTTTTTTCACTAAAAAATTGTAATTTTGGACTGAAGGAATCAAACCAAACCACAATTAGTTTCGTGTGGTTTGTTTGGACCTTTTTGAAACCCTCTAAACTAAATCAAACCAACCTCTTTTTTTTTATTTTTATAATTAATTTTTTTAAAATTTAAAATTTTAGTATTATTTTTTTTTACACTTAGTATTGTTTATTATCATCCTTTACTAACGTGTTTCATCTCATCCATTGATATCAACCGTTATAAAAATTAAAATACATAACCTATTTGAATTTGATGCTCTCTCTCTCTCTCTCTCTCTCTCTCAAAACTAAGAATTTCTTCATATTCAAAGGTTGTTTTCTCAACTATTGTTCAATTTACAACATGAAACTCTCTTTACAACGTGTTCAATTATTTCGAATAAAGGAACTAAGGAATAAGTAAAAGAATGAATATGCATGAGATCAACTACTACCATTCAATCAATCTAGTTTCGTTTTAGGTATTGGATTGTATCTTTTAATGTGAAATTCATACAAGTTTTATTCTTATATGTTATTAAATGCAACAGAATTAGGGAATAATTCAAATACTCATCTGTTAATAGTAATCACTACGAAAGTTAGATTTTAGAATAGTTTTTTTTATATTATCACAAAATGTCTTTGAGGTTTACGAAACTATCAGATTGTGTTCTTCTTGTTTTTTTTTGGTCATTCGTGGTTCTCAAGGTTAATATGTGTGCTCAAACTTAGTCCTTCTGTCAAAAACTCTGTTGGTTTGTTGATGTGGCATATATATGGAGCCCACATATCCAATAATATAGTGCCATAAGTATTTAAAATACAATATATATTTGTTAAAAATAATTCAAATTTTAAAATACAACTTTTCTTTTGGTTTTTTCATTTTTTATTTTTATGAATTTTAAAATTATATATATTGTATTTTAAATACACGTGGTACTATATTATTAGATATGTGAGACTCCACATATATGCCACATCAGCAAACCAACGGAGTTTTTGATGGAATGTGACGGCATGGACTATTTGTGAGCACACATATTAACTTTGAGGACTACGAATGATCAAAAAACAAAAGGACTCAATATGATAGTTTTGTAAACCTCAAGGATGTTTTGCGATATAAAGCCTTTTGGAATAATCGAAGGGTCCACATTGTCAAATTTCACGTGCCAAAAAAAGATTCGAAAACCTTTCATGGGCCCCGACAAAAAATATCTTCAAAAAGAAAATGAAAAACCTCCCTCGACAATAATGTAATCGAATCGGCCGACTAGGTTCGAAGTCATAGATAACAACAAACACACCCATCAAAAGTCATTGGCTCATAAGGCTGAGAGGGACCCTTCATTAACTACGGAGACTGAGACTGAGACTGAGATTGAGCCAAGAAAGAATAAGGATAATACAGATATCAGGGAATTGATATATTACAATAGGGATTGATATGGCAAGATTTCATTTTGATGTTTCAAAAGCCACCATGGACCTTGTCATTTTCGTAGCCATGTTGGTCCTCTGCTTCTGCATATCCACAGTCAAAGTTGAAGCACAATCTCTTCTTCTTCTTCTGAATGTTTTTTCAAGTTGGTATTGCTGATACTCAAAATCAATGCACTAAAGCCTCAGTTTTTGTTTTTGTTTGAAAAAAATGAAGCCTGGGGTATTTTTTTGAGTTGTGTTGAACAGCAGAGAACAGAGTGCTCAATACAAAAGTTGGTCTTTTTGATTGAGAATTGGTAGAAGATTTTAGCCTTTCTAGTGTTACAGTGTTAGAGCACTCCCAGTTCAATGTTTGTCAGCATAAACAAAAATTAGAACCCATATAATTTTACATGTTGGTTGATTAGATATAAACTTACAAAAAAGATTTAAAAAAAGAAAGAACTTGTTTTCATCCTAAATTTATATTGATTTAAAAGCATAAAGGTTACAACTTTATAATCGAAAACGAAATGAAAGAAGCTAAAGAGTTTGTAGAAACTGATTTTCCCTTATATTATTCACATGATCATTATACAATATATATATATATATATATATAAAGTCTGTAGAGAATAATCTACAGTTACAACAATTCATTATCACAAACATAAATATGGAGTTATGGCCTACTAACAACATAACTGACAACTGACCATTTCCTATTATTAGTAGGATTAACTATTGTAACTGAAATACTATTGTAACTCCATAACAGAGTTGGACCTGAATTTTCTTTCATCGTTGCAACTGGAAATGGATATGAAATTCAATGATTGAGAGAGATACAGAGCATGATCTGTATCTTCTAGAGAGGTTTACTAGGTTAGAATGTTGTGTGGCAGAAGGCCCAAGCCCAGTCACGCTACTTTTCTTTTAAAAATGAAAAATAGCCCAAGTTGGCCCAAGTATCAGGCCTATGCATATTTTTTTATCAATCAGGCCTACGCACCCATAATTGAAGGCCTACATCCAATATGACCTCCTAGTTGGTATTACTATATGTCACAAATTGTTTGGATATCATCTTTGATAATCCTGGGTTAATTAAACAAACAGGATCTAATCAATGCTATTTGAGTTGATTATGTTGGAAAATGTTCAATTATATGATCATGGGTTTGATTTGGTTGCGCAGAGGAAGCACTAAAAGAAATAGCAAAACAACTGGGGAAAACGGACTGGAACTTCAACATAAACCCATGCATCAATTACACAAACTGGGATACCCTAAACTCTACTGCCAACCCTATCTACAACAAGACCCTCGAATGCAACTGCTCCTATCCCGACGGGTTTTGCCACGTTGTCAGCATGTACGTCAACTCAAAGTTTACTTATTTATATGTTTTCTGTTGTTTATCTATGAATTTAATTTCCCTTCTCAACTTTTCAAGAGCCCATCCTCTTGCACTTAAAGTTCGAATCCCCCTTTTCACGTACATTAGAGTAATTTAGGGGTGGAACATTGTGTTTGCAGAATAGTCCACTCAACTATAGCATGCAAGAGATTTGATTTGATTTTTCTTTTTGTTCTTTGGGTGAATTACATTTGAGCTGTGTTGTGCATGCCTATCATTAAATCAGTGTATGTGCAATTGTGCATGTGGGTTTTGAATTTTATGAGCGCTGAACATTTTCGTTATACAGTTTTCTTAAAGGGCAAGATTTTGCTGGTGTACTTCCACCATCTATTGCAAAGTTGCCCTACATAACACAAGTGTAAGGGAAATCTTTCTCAGTTAATAATCTGCGAAGCTTAGTAATAGTATAATTTTATTTTAATTTTATCTTTTTTACAGTGATTTCACCAGGAACTACCTCAGTGGTACTTACCGCCTGAATGGGCTTCTACAAAGTTGGAACTTCTGTAAAATGACTTCTGACCTTCAAGTTCAAGGTTAGCCAATTCTAATTGCTTTTATTAATTTTACTAAGAAAATGAGGAAACTGCATGCAGGTCCGTGAATGTCAACAACTTATCAGGACAAATCCCTCGCTACTTGGGGAACATTAAAACTCTAATCTATCTGTATGCTCTGCCTCTATCTCTCTTGACCACTCTTTTTTATTTGTCAAATCAACTTTAAGTTTCATCTCGGTTAGCCTGCTGTGACGAAGAATTTAATTCCAGGAATTTAGAGAGTAACCTGTTTTCTGGAACTGTTCCTCCTGAGCTTGGGAATTTGGTTAACTTGGAGATTTTGTAAGCTCCCTTTTTCTTTTGTATCCACAGTTTGATATTCTAACTCTTTATTTTTAATATTAATGGTAAAGCAAGTTGCAGTGGATAAGTTATTAAGACTGGGCTTGGTATCTGCAGCACTCTCAGTGCAAACAAT